ATAAAAATGTACAATCGATAAAGATATTTACTATTGTAAGTATGTAGCGATAACATACATGCTACCTGTACGAGATAAAAGTATGAACGAATTAATACAAGTAATTTAATATCGTAATAAAAATATTGACGTTCGTAGTGATATGTGTTATTTAAGAAGTAATACTAGAATTCGTCGTACTGTGGAACAACGCCACAAGGCAGATTACCGATCACGTACAGGGTACAGCACACCCTTTGCACGCCGTAGTGGCACAGCCACACTTCGCCACATCGATTTTACCGGCTCGGTTGCACTCACACTCGGTCGACCCGTTCACTGAAGGAATGTCTCATACGCCTCTCTCCGACTCCCTTTTCCTCTCCCTTTGCCTCTCCTGACCCTACCCCTGCAAAACCTCTCCGTCACTCAGCCAGTTCTCTTTCCAACTCGGCTTGTCCATCCCTCTCCGGCCAAGCTCACCAACCTCTGCTTGCCCTCCCCCTCCGTATACTCTCCCAGCTCTCTCTCTCTCGATCTCTCTTGTCTCTCTCTCGCGCTTTCTCAATTTCTCTTTCTCTCCTCCCTGTCTGTTGTGATCGTGGGGCGGTAGCGCCGCCGCGGGGAGATGGAAGTTGCACCTTTTGCCGCATCTCGGAATCTCGCGCGTTGCTCATTTGCCGTACATAGGAGAGGAGAAGAGAGAGAGAGAGGGAGAGAGAGTAACCAAGAAAGAGAGAAAGAGAAACCTCCGCTAGGTAGAGTAGTATGCGAACGGTACGGTGGTCAGACAGTTTCAGTTCCGTTTCGATTAGGCGAGACTACGCCGGGATTTTTGGCTTGCGAGTGGCCCCGTGAAACGTACGCGTAATGCCGTTTATCGTGGCCATTGACGGCACTCGGTGCTGTTGCTGCTGTTGCTGCTTACCCGGCATGCCGACCGCACGCCACTTTTGTAAGCGGAACCGCACGGTCGTGGAGGACACGAAGTGAATCGACTTCGTGAGTGCGTCTTTTTTTTTTCTCGAACAGGGATAACTTATGTACGACTGTCGTTGTTTCGATCGTGTTCGGTTATCGCGACTGTATAGTATGATCGCGGCACGGTCCGATCGTCAGGGATAAAGAGGAGTGCATCGTTAAATCCGCATGTCCCGATTCACTAGGTTCGTACATATTACTAGTACTTCCTATGTTATAATCTTCCTGCGAATGCTTACGCACGCTCACGCAAGCGCACACCGCACGAAGCTGTCTTAAAGGCAAATCGCCGCCGGAGAAACGATTCCCGGCCCTCTAGCCCAGTTCCGGGCACAGACATTGATCCATCGATAAGGAAGTTCTCTGTCTTATTTGGATTTCTAGCATTTTCACTGAAACGCGAAAATCGTACGAAACAGCTTTCCGAACGATGAAACATTGCTTCGAGGCTTGTTATTTTTCTGGTTGATGACAACCGAGCGGACAGGTGTTTCACGTAACAGCAGATACGGAATGTACAAGCTTTATAACCTAAAATTTGTCGTTTCTTTACACATGTCACTTACGTTTCCATCTTTGAACGTTTGCTCGTGTCAGACAACTCTGTTTGAGATAAATGCTTAGAATAATCTGTATTTCCGTAAATGCTACACATAGCTCTAATTTTTTACTTCATTTGTTGATGTGCAGTTTATTGGATGAGCTGATAAAATATATATTTCAACTTTTTATTTTAATATTAGCATTTATAAGTTGCCGTATTGTGGTGAAAATTTGATTATAGGTTATAAATTATTAGTATTTGTGTACGCACGTTATGCATACACGTGTATTTTTAAAAGAGTAATAAAACAGAATTTTATTATCGTTGCTGGAATACGATATGTTATTAACATAATTGATACATTCTATTTTTCTTACCGTTATACGTTTGATTATGTCAACATGAAGTGATATTATAAATATCCTCGATGATACAAAAATTATTTTTATTACGACTAAAATAAAAATTAAATGTATAAAAATTGGAATGCAAATGCCGCTGCAATTTTTTACCTCATTTTCGTATTCTAAGAACTTAACCTTAATATCGAAATATAAAGGAAAGATATTCTATAATATCAATATTCGTAAGATATACATGTCACGTATCGATACAGCTTTAATTATATTATAACCTGATGCCGTTATAAGTAGTGCAAATATATACTTAAATAAATCATATAATTTTTGTGGTAAATGAGGTGACAATTTATTTTCATGATGAATAAAATAAAAGTTAATTATACAATTTGTTAACCAACATTTATTTGATGCATCCAGAAATGGACTTTAATATAATTTGTTACTTCATAGTTATATTAAAAATAAATAATTATAATTATTAACAATTAATTTTAAACAAATATAAAATACAAATAAATAAAAATTATAAATGAAATACTTATTTTAAGATTCCCTAATGGAATTATAAAATTGTTCTTAACAACATTACAAAAAACAAAGTTGTTTTTTAAATATTTTTTAAAATGTAATTAATTTTAAATCGTTGAAAATAATATACGTTCCGCATATTATTTAAACAATCAGTATAAATAATATAAAATTGTTTCAGTACGGATTCCAATTCTTAAAAATGTATCGACAAAGGCATTGTACTGATAACACTCATCATCAGTGGTTATTCTAATCTAGACATTAATGTATAAGAAACCATAGAACAAAAGTTACATCGATAAGTCGGAGTTATGAAAGTACAATTCGTTAAACAATGAATATATGCACACTTGCATCGCTTCGTGGCAGTGGGATGCTTTCAATCGTAAGCAGCGTGCGCACATCAGTGACAGAGCGTGGAATTTGAACGTATACACCGGCGAGCACGGCTGGCTTCCCTAGGGAAAATAGTGATGTAGGGGAAACTGACCCCACTCCTCGTTTCAATACAATCGGTGTGGAATAAGTATCCCGAATATTTGACAAGCGAATCAAATTAATTTTCAAATCTCCAAATTTACATATTTTATAATTATCAAATACCCAGATTTTTTAATTTTTTAATTTAATTTATAAATTAAATTAATTTATAAATTTGAAAATTTGGCATGTTAGAAATTTTTAAAGTTTGAGCTTTTAGATATTTAGATGAGTGAAAGTTTAGAATGTGGGAAATTTAGGAAATATTTAAATTTGTAAATTTACACACTTTTCATTCCTAATATTTTCAAATTTATATATTTAGAAATTTTTTTAATTTTAATACTTTGGAATTTAAAAATATAGCAATTTTAATATACAATGTTCAGAATTTATTAATCTGATGTTTTAAAAATGTAGAGATTCGGAAATTTGAGTTTTTTGAAATTAAACAATTTTTAAATTTAAGGATTTTGAATATTGATAAACATAGACTTTTACACATTTGTGAATTTGGACATTTTTGATGTTTGCAAATATTCAAATTTAATAATTTAGAACTTTAAGAATTTCTTAATTATTTATTTCTTTAGGGATTTTAAAAACATAATACTTTAGGGATTTAAAAAATTGAACAGTCAGTAGTTTAAGAGATTTAATATTGCGAAGGTTGAAAAGTATGAGTTATTGGAATATGAAGATTTGTAACAAATCTACGTATCTTTGCATAAATAAAAAAATGTACAGTTGTACAAAAAGAAATTTACAAATTTATAAATGTACAAACTTTTAAAGTTAGAAATTTTGAAGTCCACAAACGTTCAAATTAATGAATGCTAAAATTTACACATTTGATCTCCCAAAATCGAAGGCAAGGTGGTAGGACAGTCTCCCCCCTACACTTGTTCTTCGCCAAAGGGAGCCTACGTTGCACCGGATTGTACGTTCCGCCTGGCAAACGCGCAAACGCGTGACCGCGTCCATGAGGACTTACCATTAATCCGGGTTCTTAACCGCGCGCGGAGTAAACGTGGCTGACACGCCGCCAATGATAATAATAAGAGTGCGTAATTTATCGTAGAGCGACGTCACAAACCGCATGACGTAGCGTGTCGTCGCGGTTATCGTTTCTCCTAATCGAAGCCAGTTTGTCTTAGCGGGCTGTGCCTCGGTCTGTACGTAGAAAAATATGCACGATAGGAAAACCAGTTAACTAGCCGGCCTGACCAGAGTTCAGATGTGAAACAGTGAGTAAAACTGCCCCCTTGCGGACCGCGTCCGTGGTTCCCGATCCAACCACTCCTCTGCCATCGAGTTCTTACCTCCTACCCCTCTGCTCTATTCTCATTCTCTGTTTCGCTACTTCCACCCCCTCTCCATTTCCCGCCTTCCCACTTCCCGCCTCTTCTCTAGCCCCGCAACTCCCTGCCCTTCCCTCCTGCCCCTCTGTTAGGCTCCTCCATTTTGTCGTGATTCCTTTACCTCTAAACATATATCGCACATTTTATTCGTACGGTGCTATTGACATTTACCTACTAATTGTGCGCGTAACCGTGCCTATGGTTGACATACTATCTATCAGCTCAAATAGCAAATACGACTATGGGGCTCCACCATAGGCTCTCCTGGAAGGTGTCACCTCTCTTTCTTACTTTCTTGTACTGTCTTTTTTCACTCTCATTCTTTCTCTTTTCGTTTCTCGTTAAAACCTATTCCTCTTTCTTGCTTTCATTGTACTTTTTTCTTTTGCCTTATTAGTACTTTTTTTGCACTTTCAAATTTACCCTTTGATAATAAATTGAGTCCCGATACTCACGAGAAATAGCGTTTTATGCACCGGTAGAATTTTCCGAGTGTAACCTCTTCCGCAAATATCGAATTTTCATTCGCGTTACGACATCCTTTTCCGTGTTGTCTTTTTTAACGAACTTTTATCGAATTTTTCAGCGTAAATAATTTTAGCGAAAAATAGAGATTTCATTCTTTGCTCTAATATTTTGATAAGCATTACATTAATTACTTTGATACCATAATGATCTTTTATTTTACTTTGCCATGATGTTCTTTTCTGTAATAATACAAGTTAGACAAGGTTTTATATCAATATTTCCTTTTTATTTCAGATGTCTGCTGGGTCACAAATTCAGATGGCACCTCAATCAACTGTAAACTCTGGTCAGTCAGTTCATAGTCAAGACTCGAACATGAGCACTGGTAGGTTAATACATGTTAATTGTATTAGAAACAAATTAATCTTAGTTTATGTAAATTATTAGTTTGCATTTGTGGTAACTATAATCTGATTATAGGCTCATCACATAGTGATAAGGAGGTAGATCCAAATACTCCGGAAAAAGTACCGAGAACTCCTTCAGAAAGGAAAAGAAAACGTAAAGCCGATGATGGAGGTGGAGGAGTAACAGGAGGACCTATAGGAAGCAAAGGGTCTAGATCTGTTGCTGCTCTTGAAAATAAAAAAATCAACGAGTATTTTCCAAAGCACCACGTAGGCAATAGTCCCATTAGGCATGGAGGTGCTAAAAGTCCCTCCCCTCAACAGGGGTATCCTATGGTAAATATAAAATGTACAAATTGAATATAAAATATATAGTATTATGTAATTTTTATAATATAGTTATGAATACATCATGAGAACTTTCTCCTGTGCATCCTGTCTGATGTTTTGTCTAATTATTTTTTGACAGTATCCACCATCGCCTCAACAACTCCTTTCACCGCAAGTAACAACACCCAATTCTTCAGTGGCAGAATTTTCTTCACTGATGCAGCCGCCAAGACCTCATCCTCAACCTCCACCTCCTCCTCCACCAGCCTCGACACAACCTGCAGGCTCAATGGTCAGCAAGCAGGTGCAGGTAAGGCCTACCAACCTCAGTAGGACAAGCCAGGTCAGGCAAGCGAAGACTAACACCCCAAATGTAAGCAAAATTCGATAATTCCTGCAAGCATTTTATAAGAAATGACCCATAATAATTCCTTTTTAACATAGTATATTATAATTTTATTGTGACAGGTCTGATTATTTTAAATTCAATTCAAATTTATTTATAAATGCAATGTATTTAATAATTAATAATTTTGCCAAAAAAAGCAAATTGCTTATATATATTTAAAAAATTATGTTCATAGAATACAAAAATTTGAAATTAATGTTTTGTTTATTTTTTAAAGGGATAAGTGTTCAACTTTGCTGTACAGTGTTATTATGTTATTAGACAATTCATAATTAAATAATATCATTTATTTATTTACTTAGTGCATTTGTTTCATGTTATCTGGAATTAATTCAGTTATTTTAATTTCCATTTAAGAAAAGGTTTTATACTATACACTTTGAGTATTCATATTGTTTGTATATTTTAATTTTTCAGAATTACTTCTTGATGGGTATTTCTTGTCAGATGTTTGCAGTAAATTTGCAGCTAACTTCTGACTTAACTGTAGCACTGTATCCATTTGTTATCATAGGAAGCAGGCTACCTTGTAATATTACTTCTCAGTTAAAAATTTTTGTTTTGCTTCTGAGTTGTTAAAAATTATTTTATTTTATTTTTAATTCCTATAATATAAATAGGTGTGCATGTTTACCATTCTTATATTTGATTATGATTCTACTGTATTATAAAAATGCTTACATTCAATGAAATTGAATTTATAACATACAAATAATTAATTATTTTTAAACAAGAAACAGATACGAAACATACAATGTCCTATAAATCTTTATATTTACATGCATACCTTGTATCATGCATACATTTTTGGTGTTTTCCTTGCTGCCTGTATAATAGTTCTTTTTTATCTATATGTTTGAGTTTTTCTCTGTAATTTTACTTCTAACAATAAAAGACTCAGCTTTTTATAATGGAATAATACGTAGAAATGATTGTATTATAAATATTTAAGGATTAAATTTTGATCAATCTTCTGTATGAAATTGTCAAAGTGTTGCACTAAACATCTTCATCTGCATGTTACTTCTGTTTGGGCGCAGCAAGGTATCTAGTATTTTTAAACTATGCTGACAAATGCATCAGATGTTACAGTAATCTGTTTCTATTTATCATAAATATATTACTTGTATTCCAGACAGAACTTACTTGCCAGAGGATACAGGAATTCGAAACTCAAGCCTCTTCAGATTTAGAATTACGAAACAATAAAATCGATGAATTAAATAGAGTAAGTATAGAGAAAAAGACATTAAAGATAATAAATTTTCTAAATCTTTCTATCATTTTTATTTGCATGATGTTTCTTTAATAATTTCTGCCTAATTAAAATAATAAATACTCGCATTAGAGATATAGTGTATTGCATAGAATTTATTTTAATTTCTTGACTGAGTACAATTAACTAATTCATTTATACCTTTTTCAGACAACAGACGAACTTAGGCATCAAATGGCTAATCAACAAAAATTAATTGAGCAGCACAAATCCCATATAAATAAGTGTATAGATGTTGTAAAGAAATTACTGAAAGAAAAATCAAACATAGAAAAAAAAGAGGCTAGACAAAAGTGTATGCAAAATAGACTAAGGTTGGGTCAATTTGTAACTCAGAGGGTGGGTGCAACGTTTCAAGAGAATTGGACGGACGGTTATGCGTTTCAAGAATTAGCACGACGGCAAGAAGAAATTGCGACTGAACGAGAAGAAATTGATAAACAAAAAAAACTGCTACTCAAAAAGAGGCCATCAAACAGTGAAACTGGTAGGAAACGGAGTCAGCCTCAACCTTCTTTGCATAATGGCACAGAAGCTACATTCTTAAAGCCAGATGCAGTACCTGGATCTTATACGTGGCAGGAGTATTATGAAGCTGATGAAATACTCAAGGTATAAATTCTCGTTTTAAATCTCTTATTCTATTGAAATAGTACTGTCATTTAGTTATTAAAAATGGGAACCTATGTTAAGATAGTTGGCGACACAAAACATTTTCGACAAGATACAAAAACCTATTGAATTATTTTGAGACCCTTTATTATGTAAATATTACTTTCTTACGTAATCATGATGTTTGTGCGATTTTGTAGTTGAGACAAAGTGCATTGAAGAAAGAAGATGCAGACTTACAACTGGAAATGGAAAAACTCGAAAGAGAAAGGAACTTACACATCAGAGAGCTGAAACGTATTCACAACGAGGACCAATCGAGATTTAATTCTCATCCTGTATTGAATGAACGTTACCTTTTACTAATGTTGTTAGGAAAAGGTGGCTTCAGTGAGGTGCATAAGGTAAAAGAAAATTTGTAATAATAGGAAATCCTTTAATTATGGTTTAAACATTTCAATTTTTATAACTTTCTGATCATTTTCAATAGGCATTTGACTTAAAAGAGCAACGATATGTCGCTTGTAAAGTGCATCAACTAAATAAAGACTGGAAAGAGGATAAGAAAGCTAATTATATTAAGTGAGTATTCTGTACATAATATTTCGTATATAAATTATATTATAATAAAATATTTTTTTTGGAATAATGTACTAATTGTATGTATATTATGTAAAAGCAATTTCTTTACTTTTTGATATTTTTTATACAGGCATGCGTTACGAGAGTACAATATACATAAGGCTCTTGATCATCCTCGTGTTGTGAAATTGTATGATGTGTTTGAAATTGACGCCAATTCTTTTTGTACTGTCTTGGAATATTGTGATGGCCATGATTTAGATTTTTACCTCAAGCAGGTATATTGATAAATCTTTAACAATTACTCATACATTTATCATGTTACATATATTCATCATTTGTATTTTATGAATCATTTCTTGTTTTTAGCATAAGACTATACCTGAAAGAGAAGCAAGATCTATCGTTATGCAAGTTGTATCTGCATTAAAGTACCTCAATGAAATAAAACCCCCCGTAATACATTATGATTTAAAGCCAGGTTAGTTTCTTTTAAATTGTAAATTGTGTTCCATTTTCGTTTCGTAAGATAAAAGCTGTGAATCTAAATACGTGTTACTGTAATTCCACAGGTAATATATTATTAACTGAAGGTAATGTTTGCGGAGAGATAAAAATTACAGACTTCGGATTAAGCAAAGTAATGGATGAAGAAAACTATAATCCAGACCATGGAATGGATTTAACATCTCAAGGAGCTGGTACCTACTGGTATGTATTGTCATTGAGAAGTTTTTGTACAATAATATTTCTGTTCCTACATTCTGGAATTAATTAATAATGCAATTTCTAGGTATCTTCCGCCAGAATGTTTTGTTATTGGTAAAAATCCTCCTAAAATATCGTCAAAAGTCGATGTATGGAGCGTAGGTGTTATATTTTATCAATGTCTCTACGGCAAAAAGGTACGACTAATCATTAAAACATTTTACTTAATTGGCGATTTGTATAAAATATTAATTAAGTACGATCTAAGTTGTAAAATATGTGATTTCAGCCTTTTGGACATAATCAATCTCAAGCCACCATTTTAGAAGAAAATACAATTTTAAAAGCCACTGAAGTGCAGTTTGCAAATAAACCAACGGTTAGCAACGAAGCAAAGGTATTCATTTTTTAGCATTAATCGAAAAAAAGAGAAATGCCTATTTACAGCCCGCGACAGAAAAATAGGTTTACTTGGTTTTATTTATATCACACTATCTCAATGTTAAGGATTATGGCGGGATCAAATTTGACTCTATCAAAGTTAAATCTTTATTTTTTTATTCGAAATGAAATAGCAGTAAATGTTATTTGAAAAGTCATTCGTTACTATTACATGTAAAGGAACATCAGAACAAATTTTCTGTAGTTACAATTGAGACTATGATCGAATGCAGCTTGTTTTTTTTTTTTATAAAATGTGTTCATTTCTTCTAAAAGCATTGTAATAACATAAAAAATTATTTGAACCATCGGAATTGAATTCTTTCATCTGTTAAAATGACTTTCCTATACTACCATAAATATGTTTGACAAGTAATAAACACTTGTTTCTTAATTTCTTTGTATTTATTATTGTAGTATTTTTCAATTAATCTTTTTTTAATCAGAATAGTAAATGTAATTTGTAGAAGAAAAATATTTAGATCTGATGCCCTTACATTTGCAAAATAATGCACCTACAAAATTAATTTACGTTTTAATTATGAATTTATTTTTGAAGCGTTAAATAAGATTCAAGATCACTTGATGTTCTGTTAAATTACAAAACTTAGAAATAACTTATTCTGTTTAATAATGCCACAATTATAGTTTCAATGAACTCAAAGAATTCTATGATAAATGATTAGTGTGCTATACATAAAAACTCGTAGAATTATCTTTTTGTCACCGTAAGTTAAAAGTACCGAAATAAAGCGATGTATTTGTTTTTCATTTTTCCAGAGTTTCATAAGAAGTTGCCTAGCATATAGGAAAGAAGAGCGCATAGATGTATTGACATTAGCTAGACACGAATATTTACAACCTCCAGTGCCAAAACATGGCCGCCAAGCGAATAATCAACAGCAGCAGCAGCAACAACAACAGATCCAACAACAGCAACAAACGTCGTTTAGCATTGGCATGTTTAGTGGTATGAATGCGTCAAGCAGTTCGTAGTGGAAAAGAACTGAAAACAAAATCTTCAATATGCTAATACATGCCAAATCTTGAACACTGAACTGCACACCATCTCATCTTAGGAACATAGCAATTGCTATAACGAATTGTAAATACTAAAAAAAACCGGATAGTATCACCATCACCAATGCCACGATTACCACTACCACTCCACTACCACCATCACTATCACCACCACCTCTACCACACTTCTACAAGTACACTTACAGGCCGACTACATAGGACATTGCAAGAGAGATGCGAGACTGGTCGCCGCAAGTCCAGGAGCTTGCGTCTTTCTAGAAGACAAGTTACATTATTCAGCATGACAAAAAAAATGTTGTGTTCGTAAATATTCAATTGTATTATCGTTCCTTGTATCAAACAGTGGGCTGACTTGATAAATAGTGTTTAAAAAGAAAAACGAAACAAAAAATGAAAGAAACAGATAAACATGTGATAAGTCATTGTGAATTAAAAAAAAGTGAAGTTCAAATTAAGAAGAAAAGAAAACAAAAGGGATACGACGATGGAAAATTATTGCAAGTGAATTTACTCGGTGAATTAAAAAAAAAGAGAGCAACGGAAGATGATGTATCCGAGGCAAAGCGTGTCAGAGCAGTTGGAGGGACTTTGCTTTTCGCGGAGACGTTCCTCTCTTCTGAAGTTACGTATGCATGAATGAGTGTGACGAAAGATTGTTAAAACTAGCGTGCGTGTATATATTTATACTATATATATATATACTAATAAATCCGATATAATATATATATATGGTGTAAAGAAACAGGACAGCATTGACAGTGGAAAGACAACTGTGGTGGATCCTCGCATGACCTCCGTGCAGTCAAGTATTCCATGAATATTTGACTGCATATCATGTTACTTTATTCAAATATTAACATTATTACTTATATCATGACTAATAACAATTAACATACACACACGAGGAAATTTGGTTGGTTGTTCCTATTCTGAAACGAGTGGGCTTTATCTATAAACAGGATTGATTGGTCTAAGGTTTGAATGCAAAGAAAGTTCAAGAATTGCGATACTCCCAAATGAAAAAAGAAATGTATCAAAATCGTAGTTCACCACTTTACATGATCCGTGCACATGTACATTTTTGATCCAGAATTTTCCAATAGAGTTAACTCGCCTTTTTTTTCTAGAGTGGACTTCGCCGCATTATGATCTTACTTTTCTCTTTTTTTCGTGATATATATCATTCGTATAATCAGGCGTTAAAAAAATTTTAAGGTAAGAATCATGATACTATATCGACCTGATTACTATTTCTTTATTCATAATTTGTTTTATATATGTACGTTATATAGATAATTATGAAATAGAAGATTAAGTTATTTTATCAAGTGCCCTTGCTTTGTATTATAGTCGTGTCTGTCGACAAATTGCAGCTTTTGGGAGTAAGAGAGAGTTGTTAAAAATGTTGTAAGTTGTTGGTACAATGATGTGGGCACGGTATTGATCATTCAATACCAACACGATTGGCAAAGTATGGTCAGAGGAGAATACATTACAAGTCTGAACAGAGTCTACTATCAGATCCATCGCTTCTATTCTAAAAGCCAACCGTTCCTGCTTCCCTCTCCCGTTTCTCTTACGGTTTTTTCAAATTTCAAAACGTATACTTTTTCGATTCTTCCACGAGGAAGTGCTTTTTGTAAACTGTGTTGGAAGATGAAACTAGTCAGAGGCTGAGCAAATTTATTTCACTTTTTTTTCCGAGATGTATGCATAATTGTCCAAAATTTAACAACTTCCTATTTTTAAACCTATTTATAAATTATACTTTACGTGTATTCAAGAAGAATCAACATTGTAATTTAGCAAAACGTCTCCTAGGTTGCTTAGAAATTTCGCTTGAATATAACAGCTTGCGATAGTCGCGATTAGTTCTACGATATCGTTTTATTTATTATAATTTAATCGTTGCTAAAACAACAGTTGTTGCATACTATTCTTGGACAAAAGTATAAACACAAAACGTACTTTGGCCAGTAAAATTTACGAAAAACACTTCTTTTAAATGAAAAAAAGAAAAAAGTATCGTTTTTCTACGATGACGATTAAGAAATTGGACAATTAAATTACTTAATATGGAAGAAAAAGGATAAAGAAGTGAAAGAAATCATTTAACGAGCATTTATTGCATAAAATCTCGGTCTGAGATTAATTTGTAATGATAGGAAGCAAATCTATACCAAGCCATGTTTATATGTTTTGCGATAGAAACAATTTTGCATTTGTATATAATGAAAACTCCTTAAAAATGCATCGTTAATAAAATTATCAAACGCATATATCGGAAACAAATTTTTTTTCTAAAAGATCTGTTTGTTGTCTCTTTTTTTTCTCTCTCGTTTTAATGACAAAATTTGTTGCACAAAAGTCCCCAATTATTATCTGATCAGTAAATACATTGCTTGAAATTTAAAACGTATGGGTCTCATCCGTAGACCAAAAACATTAGAAAATAATATTTTTAGCTCTACGTGCTCATATAATTGTACATGTAGAGTTTGAGGTATTATTATGAATTAACAAAAAAAGAAATAATTAAAATAACAAATCTTTAATAAATAATAAATCTTTTTTATTGCCCCTACGTGTCAGCATAGTCACGATCTTCCTCATAAACAACAGGAATTGCGTCGAGGATGGTGTATGAAACGTTATAGCAATAAATTTACGTATTTGTGTATAATTTAAACTTAGTAAACTTATTAATTAAATATGAATCACGTATAACAGTGTATGCTTTCCCTACAATATTACACATGTATACCTTTTTTTTTCGACGGAAAGATATTTCAACAAAAAATTGTTTTTCCCTGTAAATAATATTGAAAAATAGTTGTCAGTTTATGTTCGAAAATCAAGTTTTGGTATTTTAGATTATTAAAAAAACTGTTCGATTCATTAAATCATTTTATTTTCATAAATCACGTGATCGCATTTACAATACGTAAAAACCATAGGTAAAATATTAATATAGTATATTCAGGTACAACCAAGTGGTAGTTTGCAAATTCCTAAATTTACGAATTTTTAAATTTCTACATTCACAATTTTCGATTTTAAAAAATTTTTACATTTCTCAAATTTTAATCACCAAATTCCTAAAGACCAAAAATTCCAGTTTTATGAATTTTGAATATTTTACAAATTTTTAAATTTCCCACATTTATATATTTTGCACAAATTGTCTAATCCTCAATTAATAAACTAAAATTTCCAAATTTCTAAGTTCCTATATTTACAGAAGTTCAAAATCTTTCAAATTCCTAAATTTAAAAATTTCTAAAATTACTAAATTTCTAAGTTTCAAATTTTGAAATCTCAAAATTCCCTAGTTTTCAAATTCTTAAGTTCCTAAATTTCCAAGGATCTGAATTTCTAAATTTTCACATACGTAAATTCTAAATTTTTAAGAACATGAGTTTCTAAATTGTTGCATACCTAAATTCCAAAATTAAAAAATTTCCTAACCCTTCATTTTGCGAAGACTCCAAATTTTTAAATTTCAAAATTTTAAATTATAGAGGGGCAATATAAATGATAACGATATAACGGATGTTCTGTTATACATATACTACAGAATATATACTACATATATACTACGTAAATATAGGTGAGATACTTTTTTTTATAATTAAAATTAAATTGTTTTAACATATAAAATTACTTGTCACTCCTAAACCGTGTACAGTAATGATCATAGCTTCCTCCAATGAAAGATGGCGTAAAGAACTTAGGATTTGGAAATTTTTACAATTTGAGATTTGAAAGTTGGTAATTTAGTAACTGGGGAATATGAGATTTTCAAATTTAGAATTTTGCAATTTTAGAAATTTTCTAATTCTTAATTTAATAATTTGGAAATTACAAAGTTTTAAATTCGTATATATTGCTATTTTCATAATACAACTTTTTCTTTTATGTCGTTCTTTTACTTAAAAAATACTCTTGGTTGTACATAAACAAATTAGCATTATTTAGTGCAACCTCTGTTGTGCATATACTGAAAGTGCTTGTTTGTTCCAGTATTAAGTAATAACATTTCTTACCGTTTAAAAATTTTATTTGCAGAAATATACAGTTTTTTTGCAAATCGTGGTAAGTACTTTACTAAAGATATGTCTATAATGAATAACTAAAGAAGGAACATGTGTGACACATGTGTAATGAAGATGCGTATTGCTACAAAAATAGTATCCAATAATATGAAAAAGATAAAAATAAATAAAATATAGTAAATGTTGATTGAACATAAATGATGCATTGTAATGTCTATAATTGTATTCATTATAAATGCAAAAATTTCAATACAATGACATTCTTGTACTTCTATACACTTTCTATACTTATTGAGAATATTTAGGACATCAAACATTAGAGTATAGTTCTCGAGTAATAGTACTGCTAGGTATGAATAAAAATTATGGTCACTAATAAATACATTAAAAATATTTAAAATACGCATGGTATGTACATGAAATAAACTTTTCATTTAATACGCGATTATTACAATTACGAAAGTAAACTTTTTTTTACTGACAATGAGTTGTATAAAGATTATACATACGTTGATACAATGTTCGATGATTAAAAAGAATCGTGTATTAACTACTGTTCTAACACATGTAAAAATATGTTATTTTATTAATTTTTTTTTACAAAACATCGAGTATTTGAAATCGTTTTTCTTGGAAATTAAAATGAGAGAACGATCCCATGCTATTAGGCATGGAACTACTACTAAATGTGTATGTGTTACGTGACCACTGACGATGAAGACATTGTATGATATCATATGTTATAATTCGCTTATCGTTGTAGTAAAATTTACTTTTCTTAAAATACTATTCATATTTTCTAATACATATATGTACAGCGTTATACAAAATTATTAATATTGATTATGATTTTTATCAAGGCAGAAATTTGTTAAAATTCATATCAAATATGATCACAAAATTTTTTCTAACAATAATTTGTATCATAACCAAACTTAAAATTGTGTTTTTGCAGTTCGAATTTGAACACGTGCCATGTGTTTATTTATATTGTTAAAATTGTTATACAAAATCGATCAATTGGAATCATCATCATCATCCGATTGAATAGCATACGAAACGGGTTTACGAGAACGGCCAACTGTTTTCCTTGGTGCTGGAGGTGGAGAATTATCTACAACGGAAGAGTCGTCCTCTGATTCGGACTTCTTCTTTCGTTTCTTTACCTGCATCATTAAATACATGAATTATATTTAAGTTTAAAAATATATAGAAAACTTAAATGTAATATCAACTTATATAAATACTGTAACAAATTTTTCTTATATACAATTTTTCACTTTAGTATTATTTGATTTCTGTTATAATAACATTTCATATTTTACAATCTACTTACAGGAGCTTTTTTACTCGCAAATGCGACATCATCCGATTCTGAATCAGAAGAGGCTACCTTCTTTTTCAATTGTCTCTTCACTCCTTTCCCACCGCCATTTTCAGTTTTCCTTTTAGATGGGGCTAAAAATAAGTAATGAAATCTAAAGTAACCTAACAACATTAAACACAATATTTTATTATTCTCCCAATATTAATAGTCTTACCCTTTTTAGGAGGGGAAAATATTTGAGAGGAATCTTCGCTAGACGATATAACAGGTTTTTGTTGCTGCTGTTGCTGCTTTTCTGGAGAACTACCAACTAAAGAGTCAAAAAGTTCTTCCGAACTTGCTGCGTATCAACAAATGAAATAAACGGTAATTTATATTGTAATGTTTTAATAATAAGAATGATAATTACGTATACCTACGTTTCTTATGTACTTTAACGGCTTCGTCGGAATCACTATTTACAATTGTAGTGGGTTTAGATTTCCTAAAATAAAAATTGGTAGAATATGTTCTGCCAAATATATTCACAATGTTACAAATAAAGATAAAATATTTACTGTTCTGTATCTGAAGAAAGACTAACCACATCCTCACTGGACGAAGAGTCATCGCTACTTAGGTTATATTTCTTTTTGACTATATCATTCAAAACAATTAAGAAAATATTAGTTATGTATAACACTTTCATAAAATGTAATAAGCATAAATATTATATTGTAAAAGATTAGTACCTGCAGTTTTACGTAACGCACGTGGTTCTGGTGGAGGAGAAATACTGCCAAAATCAATCTCATCATTACTATCATTATCCTTATCTTTCTTTTTGTCCGCCTTTTCTTTCTTCACTTTTGGCTTGAAGGGCAACGTTGTTTGTTTCAATTCTAATTTTAAAGTAAACGTAAGGATAAAGCATTACATTAGTTTTTTCCAATATTTATCATTAATTAACTGTACATGTGTATACATACTCTTTTTGCCAATTATTTTGTCAGGAGAATTGCCCAATCTATCCTCTAGAGACTTAACATTCGCTTCAACTAACATATCAAGTTCATCTTTATCATCTGTAGCTTCTTTCTTTATCTGAAGACAAAAAATATTACATAAAATTTCAGATTAAATTTACAAATAAAAATAGTTCAATTAAAATCGTATTACCTTATGTTTTCTGATACCATCCTTCTTATCTTTGGTTACATCTGCTCTTTCAATCTTTTTCTTCAATTCTGTATCAATTACAGGAGCTACTCGTCGCATTTCATCTGAAGAATAAAACTTCTGCGGTGGTTTTTTAATAGTTTGCCTGGACTTTTGTTCTTCTTTGCGTTCTTTCTCCTCCAACTGTAACAAATACAATACATGTAAAAAAATTGGAAAGATATCTGGTTCATTCGAAAGTTGTATTGTTTTTTCTGATAAAAACGATTTAAGTTTTACAAATCGTGAAATAATTCCATTATCAAATCTGTAATATACCTTATTTAGTTCACTCAATAAATTATCCAAATCCTCTTTCCATAAAGAGACAGGTGATCGAGCTTGTAGTCTTTTCAATTCTGCTAATTTTTCGTCTCGTTGACGTAACAGTTCATCCTTTCTTTCCTTCGTTAAGCTCCACAAAGTCATTCCTAATAAATAATCATAATTTTCTTGCGCGATGACAGCGGTCGATAAAGCAGCTTCATCTTCGACATTATCTGCTACTTCATCCTATCAATATACAATAAAATTAACATCAGTATCAAGTGTGCACATTATAAATATTTCATACAAACATTTATTTCGTAAGGTTTCTTTTTCTATTACTTACTTGAGCTTCCTAACGTAACGTAACAATTAAAGCACAGTCAATTATTTATTGCATTTCTTTAAAGTTAAAAGTATGATACTTACTAAAACTTCTTCTCTATTCTGCGATAATTTCCAAGCTACAACGGGATCGGACTCGTATCCTCGTGCGACTAATTCAGCTATCATATCTTTTTTCTTTTTGTTCTCTATCACTAAACTACCATCACACTTTTCTAAAACAAATCGTGCTTGATTCGAAAGTTTAGATGCCTCTGCTTGTAGAATACCCTCCAAATAAGCTTTACGTTTATGGTACATTTCCAATCTTACTTTGAAAAAACATCTTAAAATTTGAAGGGCACTATCATATTTTTGCAAGCACTGATTTTCGTCGAATGCACACTACACAAAAATAAATATACGCGTTAATTAATTAATTTATATTTTCTTACTTAGTTTAAATAAAATGTTTTATATATTTCTTACCATAGATGTAACTGTCATCGTTGTTTGTAATTTGAAAGCTTTATGAAGGCCGTCTCTTTCCAATTCAACTAACTTATCACGGTTTAATATTACTATAAAATGTACAGACGTGTCTGTATTGTACTCCTTATAATCGCTGTAACAATATGCAAAATATATAGTAATTAAATGCGAACATTACTGTTTGAGATAGATATATATGTATATTATATTTACTTAATAACAGCTGGAGTTTTATCTGTTCCATGTAACATAGGTTCTAACACAGTTTCTTTATATACTTGTGTCCAAGTTCCAACTGGAAGTTCAGTAATCTCCACCTTATCTGGGCCTATTACTGAAATTTCTCCACTAATAACATATCTGTATTCTCCACAACTCTCTATAGTACCTTTAAAATTTTTATAATATGGTATCTAAATAAAACATAAAAGATAACAAGTAATTAAACACGTAAATAATGAAGACAAAATATTTTTATAGAATGTTACCATAGGTTTCGGTTCACCGTCGTCCATCATTCTAAATAAATTTTCAATTATTTCTCTAGGATTATAATTTGGTATTTTTGTCATCCATCCAGTACCTATACCGTCAGCGCCATTCACCAATACCATTGGTATAGTTGGTACGTAATAAACTGGTTCAATTTTTTGATTATCATCATATTCGTGTTTTAATAAAGGATCATCGTGTTTGTGGAATATGAATCTCGCCAACGGGCTATAAACAGAGAACAAAGAAAGTTATATGTTATATCCTTAATTTATAATTCTCACATGAGGTACAAAAATCAGATACCTAAGCATTGTGAAAATATAACGAGGACTCGCTGCATCTTTGCCTCCAGCAAGCCTCGTACCAAATTGACCGATTGATTGGAGTAAATTAATGTTATTACTTCCTACAAAATTCTGCGCGAGATTAATAATAGTTGACATAAGAGACGTTTCACCGTGATGATATGCGGAATGTTCAGCAACAGAACCAGCTAATTGAGCAACTTTGACTTCTCGTTTGTCGTTACGCTTTAAACACGTATACACTACTTTTCTTTGTCCCGGTTTAAAACCATCAATCATGTTCGGTATAGAACGAACGTTATCATAATTACTGTATAAAACTAATTCAACATTGATGAAATCAGAAAATGTTACTGTACGTGTATCCTTTTCGTACAAATAACGTTCCCCAAGTCCAATTTCCTTTCTTCTTTTTGTTTCATCCATGTGATTCATTAACCAATCTTTACGCTGATCAACACATTTTCTACTGAATGCCATTATAATATTTTGATCGTCCTGTTCTCCATCATATCTAAATCGAATTCTATGTCTAGCCATATTTTCGAAATATTCTTTTGCCTCTTTAGCGGTAGAGGTACCCAAACCTATATCACAAAGAAGCAAATTTTTATTTTAGTTGTACTGTAATAACAATTATGACATATCAATTGACCGCATAGTATTAGATAAAAACGACTTTAAGACGAATTAAAAATAAAAACCTTTGTAGTATTTGATCTTATAAGTGTGATAATTATCGGTTTCAGATTTCCATTTCGTAAACTCTGGCACAGAAAAGAAACTTAATACTTGATTTCCCTTCGTTGCTTTAACAATAGGAGTAATAAATTCTTCTACAAAATTTAGCTTCAGTAATGATGGCCAATTATGATGAATAAAATTAATCAACAGCCCTTTGATGTGAGAACCATCCTAAATACAATTATACAATAAGTTATATAAGTTATGTAATGGAAATAAACCATGTAAAATTCGAAAAAAAGGTTAACCTGATCCTGATCAGTCATTATCATGAGTTTTCCGTAACGTAATGTTTTTAAATCTTCACGAGTTTCGTATTTCTTTTTATACTGAAGACCAAGAATCTTGATCAAATTGTTAATTTCTGGATTTTCCAGAATTTGTTTATGCGTCGCTTCTCTTACATTTAAAATTTTACCTAAAGGGACAATGGTGTATTATGTAGTTTGCAATTTAATGTGTATTCATATATAATTTTATAAATCAGTTTTGATTTAAGTAAATAAATATTATTTACCTCTTAGAGGAAATATACCAAATTTATCTCTACCTATGGACGCAAGTCCAGATACAGCCATAGTTTTGGCTGAATCTCCCTCAGTTAATATAAGTGTACAATCTAACGATTTACCGGTTCCAGCATCATTAGCATCTTCTAATTTTGGTATTCCTGCAATAAAAAATTAGTATTAAATATTATATATATTATTAACTTGATATGTAACATATGTAAACATTTATATATAATTTACCTTGTAATTTTCTTTGTTTCGACTTGGGTCCTAACTTTTGTAGCTGACTATCAGCTTTAAATTTGGCCCACGATAAAACCGCTTCTACAATGCCAGTTTTCGTTACCTACATATAAATCAAAATTGCTAACATATATAGACAAATACTAAATTGGTAGAGTAAAATTTTAATATTTACAGCTGTAATAAATTTATCACTAAGTGTACATTTTGATCCAAAACTTTTAGCTTGTAATGTCATGTTTTCCTTTGTTTGTGAATCAAACGTAGGATTATTGATAAGACAATTAACAAATATCCATAAATGATTTTTTATTTGAAATGGTTTTATTGTTAGTCCACCCTTATTTTTCTTTTTAAGAGTTTCTGTCAATTGCTTCACTATCAATTCTGTAACATGATCTACATGCCGACCACCCTATTTAAAAAATAAAGATGTTTAAAAATTATTTGTATTGTAAAATATATTTTTTGTTGTTTTTATTTCATTATGTTTAATACCTTTGTTGTTGCAATACTGTTTACAAAAGACATTTGCTGAAAGCCTTTGTCAGATATAGTTACAGCTATTTCCCAACGTGGCCCACAATTTTCATATGCAATTTTTAAAGGGTTACCAGCATCATCTTCTTTACCCTTAATATAGAAGTCAATATAATCCTTAAAACTTTTTACAGGAATTCTAGTACCATTAAGGTAAACTTTGACACCTCTAGTAGAGGCTGCTACATCATAGGCTCTTCGAGACATAAGAGAGATTATATCCTCATCTAAACATTCCATCTTAAATTTTGATAAATCTGGTGAAAATATGACTTTTGTAAAATCTTCACCAGAAAAATCTTTAATTCTTGGTTCACTTGCACTTCCCATATTGTTACTCCAAGTCTATAAATATGATTACATTACATAAATTTATTGCTATGAAAGAGTATAATCATTTTAAAAATGTTTCCATAAAGTAATTACCTGTTTTAAACATTTTCTATATTCCTTGGATGCAGTTTCTATAGTAAAACGATGACTAAAAATATTACACAATTTGGCACCATAGCCATTTCTACCACCTGTTACTTTTTCTTCTTCATCATCATAATTAGATGATGTTAGCAAATGACCAAATATCATTGTGGGAACATACATATTTTCTTCTTTATGAACTACTACTGGAATGCCTTTACCATTATTCCATACAGATATAATATTGTTTGTCCTATACATCAAACATATTGAAATATAGTTTATCATAATTTTTATACACTGAAAATATTAAATAACAATTAATTGATATTACTTACGAATCAATTTCAATTTTAATTGTATCCATTTTTGGATCTCTTTGCTTATTATCTGCTGCATTTACTAATATTTCGTCAAATATTTTGTATAAGCCAGGAACATATTTTATCTCCTTCTGTATCATACATTCTTTTTCTTTGTCAAAAACCCACATCAGTTCACATACTGGTTCCACGGACCCAATATAGGTATCGGGACGTAATAAAATATGTTCCAATTGAGATTTCTTTTGATATATACGTTCAATAGTTTTTTTCTTTTGTACATTTTCGCCACTTCCATTTTCTACTGCTATACTCATTATATTGCAACGTGTCTTTATGTAACTGCAAAATTAAAAAATATTGAATGTACAAAATTATAACCAACAATAAATAAGAGATTTAGAATTAATATATATTATTGTACAGTCTGGAACATTACAAACAATTATTGTTTTAAACTTATTACTTAAATATTGATAGGTTTTGATGCATTATTTCAGTGCCGAATACAAAATGATGTTATTAAAGAACTAATTGTGTATATAAAGGAATATTAAAGAAAACAAATTACACAATTTAAAATCAAAGAAATTATGCAGAAGTTTTGTATTATGTATCAAAGCATTATTTCACTGAAAAATGTATTTTCCATTCAACAACATATACTATATAATTCTCCAATTACTTTTTTATTATTTCAATATAATTTTCATCATATATTGGTTTCTAACATAAGTTTATAAGAAAAAAAGACTTTGTACTACATTCTTCTCAATCTAAAAATCTATAATTTTATCTTTAAGTAAAAAAGATTGCAAAGGAAGAAAGTAGTTATTCTTACTTTATTTTAAACATATAAAAAAATTGCTGTAAACTTGTTATACTCTAATATATATTTAGTTTATAAAATTTATTTTTAATCATACTGTAATATCCGATTGAGTTCACATTATAATACTATCTTCCTGCCATTATTTGATGACATCTTAAAACAATTTCTTTTTTAAATTATGAAAATAATAAGTTTCGTTATAATAATTTTGTTTGCCCAAATAAACTTTCCTTTACTGTTAAATTTCATAGTTCTTCTATTTTCTACTCAACATAATTTAAAACAAACTGTAATTGTGTAGGTTTATATATTTAAAATCTATTCTTGCTTAAACTTTTGCTTCAAATGTTCTAAAATTTCACTTATAGTGATACACCTTAATGGTACATTTAAGAATTACTTCTGGTTGTTCATTTTTTGTCCAATTTATGTTTTCTATATTTTTCAGAAATCATTTTAACCCTTTATAGTAAGAAACCAAATCTTTACTTCACCAAAAATTTATAAGCATTAGTATTTCTTTATTTAGTATATTTTCTTCTCCATTATTTATCCTGCATAATCAGCTTCTTTTGTATATTATTACATCAACCAGTTATTTGATTAGGAAAGCAAAATCATATATCACATTATAACTTTGCTTTATTCTTTTAGCAATTTGCATATTTTTATATTTGTTTAATTATGTGCAAATAGTTCCTTCAACTTTCCATTTTTTATGAAATTTCTTACGATCCACAATAATTTATTTCTTTAATAATACCACTGAATTATAACTGAACAAGGTTCATTTTATGACAAGCCACTTTTCATATTTTTGATGTAAATATTTTGTCCATTTAGTTTTCATATACGCTGTTAATTTTGATCTCCTTAAATTTGACAGATCTTTTATTAAATTCTGAATTGTTTCTTGTTCAATATTATGTCATACTTGTCATGTTCTGATTTAAAGTTTATAAACGTTTATATTCTTCTAACACTTTTTTATTATTAACTTTTTAATTTCATGACTCTGAATCTAAATTATAACTTTAAACTATCCATTGTGATGCAAAAAATTTTGGAAAATCAATTGCAAATTTCTTTCTAAAGTATTCGAATATTGTTTTTTTATACATTACCTTATGTAACCTATTATTATATATGCAACATATCATATTATTTGTGAAATAATTCTGGTATATAAATAACTCACACATAAATATTAGTAATATACTTTGATAACATAAAGTAGCGTGCTTATACTTTTGCTTATTAGTACATTTGCTGACTTATATTTGACACAATTATCTATAAAAATTATGATGTAAACAATGTACTTTAAAATACAGTTTCCTATTTTATATACATATAGTACGTACAAATATTGTGTGTTCCATTATTATGTCTCAGACTGTACAAATATTTCTCACATTTAAAATTTTTGAAATACAACAATAACATTATAAGTATTATGTTTTTTGTTTATGAAACTGTCATATAATATCATTGTAGAATTTTTATAATGTATTATTGTCGTGTGTTAATAATATATACAATTATAGAAATTTCTATAAAAGAAAAAAGCATAACAAAATCAAACATTAAATTAAATTTCATTCTAATTATAGTCCCAACATGAATTTTGAAATTTTATTTTGAAACAAAAATATAGTTACCTAAAATAAATTATTTATTGTAATAATATTGATCAGGTAAAAAGCAAACATTCACAACACAAAAAGCAAATTTCGCTTGATATTAAAAACAAGAATTAACATTAATAAAACAGTTTCATACCCGAAACAAATTTTACTAATATGGCGGGAAAACATCCTCTGTGCAATTGGCTAGTATAATAAAGACGCTAATTTGGCGTACATATTCTTTTCGAAAATTGGACATGTATAACTGCTACAATAATCTTAAAAAAATTAACAAAAAATTTGATAAACGAGACCATAATTTGAATTATTTTTATAGCCTACCTTCAATACAATCGCGATAAAAATACAGCGTTGTGTCGGCAACCGAAATTTGTAGACCTACAGATTCTATCAGGATGTTAGCTAACGCATTGCAATCAATAAATGACTAAACTAACTAATTATAATATACGCACTGTCTTCCTCGTCACTGTTTTCGCAGAATTATTTCTTAAACTACTGATATTGCACCAAAAATATTATTTTTCTTCTGGACTTCGTCTGAAACCTATACAGTAAACTGATGCCTATATGGTAAACTATCCACTTCCCAACGGTTGAAGTCACTTTCGTATTCTGCATACCGTTCCAAAAGACGATAAAAAATTAGCACGCTCTGTTTGGATTGGTTAAAGAATATCAAATTATGATATTTTTATTAGAAAACTATAATTTGTTTATTTACGTAAAGAAACAATCAATGAATACATCATTCAAACACACAGAAATATTTAAGAAGTGCAAAATTTATACTCCGTTTCACGAGAGATTGTACTAACCAAGTAATGAATTTTTCTTTTTCTGCGCATCTACACTGTTCAGTTCTATACTTCCTATTATCTATGGTAATACGCATGCGCTTTCATGATATCTGTGATGACAGAAGTATATACTCAGCAGACAAAAAGTTTCGTGATTACTAATTCTTGCAGTTTGTAATACGTTCCATTCATTAGACGAAATACTTCCAGTTCCTTATTTATATATTTATAAACATATTATAAACTTGGATATAATATTTATTTTGTCTTGTATATTTATTACATTTATTACGGTTCTTATTCGTTTACTTTTCTTCACTATATATACGATCATAAACACAGAAGTGGTAAAGAGCATCACATTCGTGGTTAAGAATTTCAGGTTCAAATGCGCAAATCACATTCTCTCGTGAAACAAAGTACAAATAAATTAAAGCTTTAATGTAACGACAGACCAAAATATATAAAATAATAATATTTATAATACAAAAAGTATTTCTCCTAACCCATAGATTCTATGATATAGAACGTACTACAATCTGCGAATGTAAATCATGAAATTTTCTGTCCACTGAGTATATACATTTGGCATCATGATCGTCATGAGAGCTCATGCGCATTGTCATAGGTCATAAAATGTATACAACTGAAAGTGTGAACATGCGCAGAAAGAAATGAACTCTTGTCATTGTCGGATGAAAATATACAGGATGTTCTATGCAGCTGGAACAGGCTGTACCTCTTAAACGGCTAGAAATATGTGCATTAGAAAAATGCAACTGCACTTATTTTTTAAATGGAAATCTTTGTTTTTGACTGCACTAATCTTGTGCTCTACATAAAAGTATTAACATACGTATACCCCTAAATTTACTTGTTACGAAATTATCGCAACTAAAACTTCTTTGATTTATTTCGGCAAGTGTTCTGGTGTACCTACGTTATATTCCATTATAATATTTGTAAACATGAAGCGGCTGTTAATACTAATCATTGTATAATTACAATTTCCATCAGTAACTATTTACTACTAGTGTGCAATCATTTGGCGACCCAGTGTTTCGAAATTATGGTATTTACGTGCACATTTATGCATATATGTATTGTCATACGAATACAGTCCTCGGCCATAGATACATGATGGTCATGTGGCCAGGGAAACGCACATATAGACGAGCAGTCACACATTAGAAACATCCAATTTTCAATTCCTTGTGGTATGAAACATACACAGTCTCAAGATTACACGTTTTAACTGGAACACCCTGTAGCTCTGAAGAATAATTATTTACTCTGGTACAGTATAACTTTCTGAAATTGCATTTTAGGTACTGACGACCTTTATAACAAATGAAAGCATATAAAAATGTATTTTTTTGAATACTAATTTGTAAAGCTGACATCTGTAGCATCTTCTAGCATTATATGAAAAATATTTTGAAAAAGTAACGAGTTGCATTTTTGAATACCAAAATGGCTGCTGTTTTTGTTTCTCCTGCACAACGCAACGCAGAACAGAGGAGGATAGTTAGGAATTTCTTAATTTCGTCACACAAAGAATATATGTACATTTTTTGTTCCACAAGAGAGAGAGGATTTCTTAGATGACAAGTTTTGTGTTTTTCTTCATGTACATTACGTTTCCATTTTACCAGTTTGCAATCTGTAGGCGCATGTGCTCTTATGATTATCTTGATACCGAAAAAATATACTCGGCGTGTTTTTTTTATTGTATCCTGCTATGATTACCGGTTGTTGCTACTTCTTTATTTTATCCCGCCATATGTACGATTATAAGGTGGAAGTAGATTGTAAAGAAGCATTATAATTGTGGTTAGAAGTCTCCTTAGACTGCCAGTCTATGCGAATTAAGTCCACTATTTCAAGGAACAGAAAACAAAATTTGGGAAATCTCACCACATAAAAATTTGGAAATTTGGAAATTTGAAACTTTGAAATAGTCATTTTCAATATTCAATTATCAACGACGTTGAATATTTTTAACTACGTCATGCATTAGCCTGTTTAAATTTTCGTTCCTACTATAAATATCGATATGCACTATTTTACCACAGAGTAGGGATGCAACATCCCTATTTTTTGCCTAAGCTATCTTCACACCATGTTATTCAATTTATAAAGCTAAATTCACGCTACAGTTTCAACGCTATAAATAAGTATATTGGCAACACTGTATCCCTGACACCTGGTGCCTAATGATTCTTGTGTTTATGATTTGTAAATAAATAATGTTGTTTAATTGGTAACAACAGTAAAAGAATTGAAATTATGTGTTACAAATTATTCTTTTGACAATATTTTTTGTTGATATTATAATCGAAATGTAAATTACATTATTTAACTGACGAATTTGCAGAAAGACAAATTGACTACGTTTAAATAAGTGTTTGTAAATATGACAACATTGAAAGGCATTTTCCCTGATTTAAGTAAATAATACATTTTTTAATTTAATTCCATGTTGCACAGTTGTGATAATAATTAATACCATTATTATTTTAAAATAATTAATGTTATTTTGTATGTTTTCAGAACCAGTAAGACGGAAAAATTTTATACATGAAAATGTAAAAAATCTTCATCGTATGAAAAAATGCATAGATACAAATATAGAAGAGCCACAGAAATTACATAGTAGAAAAAAGATTAATAATAATAATCATTCCCATAATTGTAATTATACTGAAGATATTTTATCAAAAGTAAATACAAATTTGCAAGTAAAGAAACAAGAAAGCATTCATACAAAAGGTGCCATAAATCATAAATTAAATCAGCAACGAGAATTTTGTAAAAGGACTAGTGCCCCAGTATTAAAGGAAAATACTGCTTGTACAAAGAAAACCATGCATTTAACTAATAACAATATGACAATTAATCAAAAGAAAGAAGGGCACAAACAATCACAAAGATCTGCAAAAAGATTGCATGGGAAAGTTTTGTCAGATTCTACGTTATCATACATATCACCCAGAGAAATAGATAAAAATGTTAAAAATCAAATTGAAGTTAAAAGCCAAGGTATTCAAACATTGAATACAACAGAAATTGATCACTTATATTCTGAAGGGATTATAAAGTATGTATAGAAAGTAATTATATTATTTACTTTTTATGCTAATAAATTGTTCTTGTAGATATCCTTCCAAAAAAAATTTTAATGAGTCGCTAAACAAGAACAAAAGAAATCAAGAAATTGATAAATCTTCAAGTGATGCAGTAAATTTAGCTGCTGAACAGGGAGATACACAGATTGTAGAAAAAACCCTGGAAGACAAAAATGATTCAAAAAATCTTAAAGCTTTTTCTTCCAAAGAAGAAACAGATTTTATTAAATTAAACAGAGAACATTGTTCTACTACTAATAAAGTAGCTACACCGATTAAAAATACTAACAGTCACAACAACTGCAAATATAATAATAGTAACACTAATACTCCTATTGCTAATCATCGTATGGGTGTAGTTCCAAAGTATGATTCTTTATTTTATTGAATATTTCTTAACTTCTAAATATTGTAAAAGACAAATCATACTTTACTATAAAAAAACAATTATTTATTAGGTACATTAAAGAAAGAAAGGAAACTCTAGAAAAAATACAGAAAGCTAAAACGGAAGAATTGGATGCCAATTGCCCAGATGGTCATGTCCTTTTGCCTGACCACGAACGCAAGGAAACATTACGTGTATTACGAAAAAGTATGTAATTTAGGAATATTCGTGTTTCATGTTATGTAATACCATTATTTATTGCAATTATGTTTGTCTTACAGATTATCAAGATTACGTAAACGAATTAAATATGATGCCAATAAAAGTAGACACACTGAGAGCACAGCGACGAAAAATAGAAATAGAAAAACAACTGAACAAATTAGAAGAGGGAATAAAGGTCTTTTCAAGACCTAAGGTTTATGTAAAAATGAATGAATAAATGGTTATTTTGTTGCACAAAATACACGTGTGAATGTGTAGGTATAACATTATATTTATTTAACAGTAACGTGAAAGTACGCTTAAAATTTCTGTACATAACTAATAAATAAAATTCTATATTAACAAACACTTATTAAACATTCCATAATATTGTTTTGTAAGTTAAATGTCATTCAAGTATCTTCAATATTCAGAAATAAGAAGGCAATAGCTACTTGGAAACGACAAATGTGTTATTGAGAGGATTGTTTCTTCTTTGGATATAAACAAGAAAAAACATCTACAATTTTCTAGAATGACTACAAACTTACAAAACAGTACTATATATCATTTACATTACTCATTTTGTAATTTTGTTATTAATGTCTACAAAATTTTTATCAATAATATGTACAAATGCTTTTGGATCAAATTGAAGTTGTCCTAAACTATAATATTTTTCTTCATTTTCATACCATTTTTGCAAATCAAAATCCTTGAAAAGTATCGATATTTCTCTTTTGGCAGATTCAACTGAATCTAGAAGAATAATGTTTGTTTAATATATAAACAATAAAAATAAAACTGTTTATATGAAGATATACCAGATCCATGTGTTGCATTTCTTGTATCCGAGAGACCAAACATTCCTCGAATTGTATCAGGAGCAATATATTGTGCTTCGTATGTTTTTGTGGGACCCATTAATTGTCTCCATTTAGCAATAGCATCATAATCTGCTAAGATATGAATATCAGATGGGCCACTGCACATAAATGTCAAAAGACGATTGTAAAAAAATTTTTCTTTGTGCTCTCCATAAAATTTTTCTGCATCTGCTTGTGTGATTATTGACCTGCGTGATCTGACAATTTTGAAATTATTGTCAATTATTAAGTTTCGAATTTTCTGAAAACCAGAATAATTATCAACTATTACCATAATCTCATTTGTGGATAAGAACCAACTGTTGTGTCAATCCTGTCTCATTGCCTATTTATGTCTGTTTAATGTACAGAATGAAATTTAGGTTATAACCTTCTTACCTGAAGCACAAAGGGAGATTTAACGATATGTGGCTTAATTATTGCCAATGTTAGCTGAAGATATTTTTGTGATTGCATCTTACCATATTTAATTTACCTACCCCTGACGAAAAACTTTAGTTATTTCATAATACAATAGTAACAACATGTTTTTAACTGATGTTCACTACATGAACATTTCATCAGTTCATGTAGGAACTGGCTTATCAAATGAACTTTTTCGTACATTTTTAGCACCCCAATTCTGATTGGTTTTAACAGATCCCGTAACTATGAACAACATGTAAGTGTCCTTGTTTTTTCTATGTACATAAATATGTAATATATGTATATAAACATATATTTATAGTACAAACTTACATATTTCAATGCATGATTACATGCATATAAGTTCGAATTTTTGAATTTATGAAGTAGATATTATAGGCAAACATAATACAATATAATAATAATTTTTTATAATATAAAAATAGTCTGTTTTACATAAATGCAATTAAATCAATATATCGAATATTACTTTCACAAGTAAAAATTATTGTGAAATATGTATAATTTCAATTATTTACATAATATATAGTAACTCTTTACAAAATTTGTACAAACTTTATATTATATACAACATAATTTATTTACTTATAATTTATGTCTTATACTATTGTTATAAATAAGTATGCTTGGTCATGTCTTGTTCACAAAATATCACACCATCCACATTATAAAAATAGTAACCGATTGTGCAATCTCTACTTCATCAAAGACAGTTTTACGTAGTCAAATACTACAATGATAGATTAAACACTATGGCACAAACAGCTGGAGAAATGGCATACCTTGTATTGTTACTTGTACAATTTTTTTCTATTTTTATGATCATACTCAGAATTTTATGACGATATTCCTAATGTACTACAGATAACAGTTTAAACTTTTGAAATTTTAAGATTATGGAAAGTTTTGACCAGACTTCTTTATAATCAAATTTCATGTAATATATGCATATTGTATTTGTATGCATTATATTAATAACATTAAATATTTCTAACAGTATTCTTCCTTATTTCTCATCTTTCAAAGTATTTATGTGCTCATTTATTGTTTCTTGTGAAGTTTCCATAAAGCTATTATTCATAATTTTATATGTATCTTCTATGAGTTTTGGAAGATCTTCTTTTGTTAAACCTTTGGTAGAAATGGGAGGCAGAATGGTGATATAACTTGTACCTGAAACATAATAGTCTTAAATTATTCTGTGATTATTTTGTATATTTTATATTTTTTTATAATATAGATCTTTGAATATTTAATTATTATAACTGCCAACATTTTTTGTTTCTTTATAATAGAGCTACAGGTATTATATAATACACACATTTTCCAACACAGAGTACCGAATTCATCTATTATGTTATATAAGAGTTTATTGTCATATTATTATTTCTATTTTAAAAGATTGTGTCCTCAATATAGTTACAGACATGTAAGACTAAATAGTAACAATACTAACCTGAATTAAATATTTTCAGTTTAGAATTCAGAAAATAATACTTTGAAATAACAACAGGTTGTATTGGTATTTGTGACTCAATAGCTAAGTGGAAAGCACCCTTTTTAAAGGGTAATAATGTAGAATTGGAATGTCTATGGCCTTCTGGAAATATTAAGACGTTTGCCTGAAAAGGATATGGTCGAAGTAATTAGAACACATATTTATTATTTACATTTCACAATAAATAAAACAGAAATTACCTTTATGCTTTTTATACGTTCAGCTGTTGAATTGATACCTTTTTGGGCTTCTTTGCTGTTTTTTCTGTCGATAAAAATAGTTCCCCAAAGCCAAGATGCCAAGCCAAATAGACCAAGATAAAAAATTTCTTTCTTAGAGATAACGGTACACCTTTCCAATACAGGCCACAGTTCAGCTAGGACTAAAATTAAAATTTTGCTATTTATTACTATCTGCTGTAACGAGAGTCTTTTATAATAGTTAAATGTAAATTCTAATTATTGCATTATTGTAGATTCTCATTATATTGCCATGGATCACAAAAAATCCATTAAAAAGGAGGGGAGATTAGTTAGAAATAAGTATTACAATTTGTAAAATAAGTATTACAACTTGAACAGACCAGGCTTAACAATTTGTTAACAATTAGCAATTTGTTAAGCCTGGTATACTTTGAGAAAGTATATTACAGAATATGAGTAGGACTATGTCCCCTAACATTGCTTCTTAAGCTTCTTTTTTCTGAGTAAGAAAGAGAAAATACTTAAATTATCACAATTATAGATAAAGAAGCAGATTTGGAAAGCATAATGCAATACATGTTCTAGGATTTGTTTTCCTCTATTTGTCAGATTTGTTATAAATAAAACCTCAGACTGAAAAGTAGCAAAAGATTTTCAGAGTTTGTAGATTTCATGGTAAGCATCTTTCTTCAGGTACAATTCTGAAATTTTGTAAAATAATGTATATATTTACCTGTTAAATCTAATATACTTTGATGATTCATTAGTACAATGCTGCCTGTATCTTTAACAATATTTTCTTTCCCACGAACGTGAAATGATACTCCTAGTAATTTCACACATGTTCTCAGACACCTTGCTGATAGTCTATAGCATTAAATTTATAATGAATTTACAATTTGATTATAAGAACTCATATGAATTTTTAATTTAATTATTCTTTTGTTGACTTACAATGCATTTCTCCAGTCTTTGATTCGTAGAAACATGAAAGGCCATTGTATACTTGTTGGTATAGCACTTGCTGCTCCAAATGAACAAAATTTGATGTAGTATCTCAATGTTTCACATGAGGCAACAATCGTCAATAGGATTAGAACAATCAGAAATCCCATTGAGTAATATACCACATTTTGTAATCTGAAATTATATGATTATTTACATTCAAATTAGAGTTATTGAATTTATATATAGGAATTTTATGGATGGGTTTTGCATAAATAATTATAATAAGTAAAATGATGGTTCTGCATATAATTAGTATCTAAAATGATAAATATCTCAATGTTTTTCCATTACTATGAAAAAGCGATGAAGAATAAAATGCTTGTTTAGGGTAGTGAATGATAAGGACTTAATATGTAATTAAAATTAAACTAATAGAACTTTAAGACATTTTGTAACTTAAATTAAGTTTATAAATGTTACTGTTAGCAATCATATCAGATCAAATATAATTTTACTACGCATTAGTATTGTCAAATGTAATATGTTAATACAATTATATATATAAAGAGTTAACATTTTTTTACATAAACAAGGATCGCTGAATACAAAGTAGATATAACACTTTTAATTTTCTTTATTTGTTCTAAAATTGTGGCAGTTCTGTCAGATGTATCTGGTAAGTCATACGGGGTTAAAAGTGTGATATGGAACACCTGTTGAGTCGCCTTGAGATATTCGCCGAAAGCGTATAATATTCCGTATTAGTAATTCGAAAAATAGCGGGAACACGATCATTCAATCTTATACTAATCAATATATCCGTTGATGATGTCCAAATTTCAACAATTTTTAAATTTACCTTATATATCATGTATTTATAATTTACGATGACGTGTAAAATAATCAAGGAAAGAACAATAAATTAAAGTTCAGTTATATAGATAAACATACCGTTCATCGGTAAAAAATAGTTTTACACTGTAAAGTATATTTTTTACACTGCACAGTTTAACACTGTAAAAGTAGTACGGATCATTTTCAGCAATTAGATTATTAAATAAACAGAAATTAATAAAATATGATACTATTAATAATCGATAAGTGCAATTTTTCGATGTACTTTATTGTATTAAAATTATTAATATATTTAATACTAATATCATTTTAATATTTAATATTAATATTATTTTAATATATATTACCACCTACTAATTATTAATTATTAACTACTAAGTATGAAATTAAATACCGAAGCGTATTTTATTTATTAAAGTGCGAAGTAGTACAAATCGATAATAATTGATTAATTGACAAGATCAAGTATTAAATAACAAATACAATCTACTAAATTATAGTAAAGAATATTTCGGTAGTACGTGTAATGGATGTAGAATTAGCAGATTTGCACTTGAAAATTTCAGAAAAAGTATTTTTATTACCTTGATCTTGACACCGAATGTAAAGAAGAAATAAATTTAGCAGCGAGTGCATAAGTGATGAATTATATTTTACACTAAGGTATGTAATCTTTTAAACGGCGCGCTATTTGAATAGATTTTTTTAGCGAGGAAATTCTATTTCATGACTGAGATTAATAGTATCAATTGCTAAAGTCGCAATAAATTTGTTTATAAACAATATAAAATTTATTATATAAAATTAGAAGAATGAATAACGGAACGTTAAAGTAGTTCGAATTATGGGCCCCCTCTGTGATACGTCAAAATTTGAAGAAGTAAAAACAAAGAAAAATTAATTTATTATAGAATTCAATGAAAACAAGAGAATGGTTTTATCCAAATAAAAGACGAATACAAAATATTTTAACAGTTTAAAGTTGACTCATTTTCTTAGTGGAATATATTATCACTGCAAAGATAGTCAGAATTAGAATAATCGCTCACAAAAACGCTGACCCGAACCCATGTATGTCGCAACATAAAACTTCAGCGAATTAACATTTTGCATAGTTTGTACTAGAATTATAAAAAAACAGTCATTTAGCGACATACAAAAATGAATAATAGCAAATGCTGTAGACTCGTAATTCCAGGAACTTATGACTAATTTATTACGAAATGTATATAGGAAAAAATTAGTCTGTTCGCAACAGCAGATAAGTAAACCGAACAATAGATGTGCAAAATATTTCGTGAAATTTCATGTTCATTAAACATAAATTAAATATAATAATTTAGTAAATATTAAAGATATATGTTAACGTACACGAAACGTATAATTTTTAAAAACGAAGAAAATATGTGAGATATTGGTTAATGAACAAAATATTAATTAACTTACAGATTATACATAGTCGCGTATTTTAACTTAAGATATCGAAACAGGTAAGAAACAGCAGACGAATCGTCCAACACAACCGTTAGCTCCACGAGAACGTGATATTATGATAAGAATATACTTCCAAGTATAGTGTATACAACTAGTACAGTGTGTGCGGAAATATTATTGCCGCCTTTAAGGGGTATATGTTCCAGCAGAAAGGACGACCAGCGTCTTTTCGAAGAAAAGTAATTATGCGTATAAAGATCGCAAGAGTTGAGTGTAGACAAAGTGAGTGATCATTTAAAAAAAGAAAACAATGCGGCAGTTGGCACTTACTTGTTAAGATATAACGATTTTAAATAGATTATAGATGCTTATGCATTTACGTATCGAAGTCTACAGAATAAATGTGATAAAATATACATTATCTGATTTAATTACGAGTATTGGTCTTTGGTATCTCACACATGTGTAAGCCTCATTAATACTATGTAATGTATAATATAATATATAATTTTGAAGTAATAATTATTATTTTGAATGATTTGAGTTCAATTATAAAATGAGTTAGATTGAAAATTTGAAACATGCAGTGTTAGTTAATATTGTACACCTTGTGTATTTTTCTGTTTTCAGTTAAAAATTCAACTTAACTTCAACTTCAGTTGAAAATTAACCAAATTAAGTTAGAATTGACATATTATATAAATAGCGGATGTCTCCCAAAATACACCTAGTAAATTGTTCAAGAAATTCTTAGTTCTGTTGACATAATGAGTGAGTTTTATATATTTGTATACTCTGAATATGCCTGCACATACCATTTTAAAGTACTTTCAGTTTCTGAGAAAATCGAATTTTTTTCGACATATTGCCTCTTCATCGAATTCTCATACATTGCCAATTTTTAAGGTATTTTATGTTCTTGACGTAACAACCATTTAATTGCTTTTGATATAAAACAGTTGTAACTCTTTTCAATGAACAATAGAAATTATAATATGAAATTACAATATGAATTATTATTCTGTAATAAATATTAAAAGTGTCTGTATGTTTTAAATACTTTGAAGTGACTATGTTTACATCAACTTATCGCTAAAACAGGTTTCACGAATGTGTAACATCCCGGAAGATTCATCAATGAATTTTGATACAAATTTTATTCTTTTCATTGCACATTTTTTCTCTACAATTATCGACGTTTTCTTTTCTTTTCTTATCAGTCGATAAGACATATCGACTGATTCGACTGAATATCCTTTTATTTCTAGTAATGAAATATTAAATTATCATTACATAAATCAAAACATACAAAATTAATTAATAATAAATTATTAGTAATCGAATTAATGCATCTTTTTGTCGATTTAAAGAAATTGAAAGTCGTAAAACATTGTACGTAATATTTTAAAATATCGCGCGCTACAACGCTAGCCCAGGCGTCTGTAAGATGCGCGCGCAATAGCTAGAAAAGGATAGAAAATATATTTCGAATTAAATTACTAAATTATCATTTTTATATTAAAGCCACTAAATATTAATCAGAATTTATTATTAACGATTTCATAAATATATTTACTTCATTAATTAACATTTAAATAAATTATTTAGAACTAGTGGAACGGCTCGTGTTATGCACGGGGAATTAATCAGTTAAAATATAAATTTGACTTTGCCCATCATCCACACCAAGTCCCAATTCCATGATATTAAATTAAATGAAACTTTTAATTAGAAATTTCGTTGTAAACTACATTGTGTGAGTTCACGTTAACGTTCGTGTATCATTCTCATTGCTTGGTACTGAGTCTCCGTATCGTTCTAAAAATGCATCAATTTGATTTGTTGAAAAATTTATTCCGCAGGATTTGCTATTATCTTATGGAAACTTTGACCCCCTGCGCAGTTCTAAACCGAAAAAGATAGACATGCGCAGTAAATATTTTACAAAGAGGTTCAACGCAGGTAAGTCAAATTGACCATTCGTAATGATGAGGTAATTAGTTTTTAAATTGGAGCAATTTTGATTTTTCGAAAACAAGTGGCGCCATCTGGTCGGCGAACAGTGCAAACTGCACTCAGCGGGAGTACGTCTTTCGTTAGTTCGCGTATTCTACCGCTAGATGACGCGACATGTACCGTTTATGTAGAGTTCTGCTCCAGGAAATAGGGAACTCTACTTTACCGACGTGAGAAGGGGTAAATAATTTTCACTGCGTTTAAACTGGATAACTATATTTAACAAATATATTTAATAACAATTAATTATAACAAAAACTGTGCGGGCTAAATAGTTTGTATATACGTTCCGCGCACTACTACAAAAATCGCAGAGTTCAAGTAAAGCTGAATAACTGTAAAACACGTCAACTCGCCTAAGCGTTCCACGAGAGAATGGACCTCCTACGCGCGGAAATGCACTCTCCGTTGCGCTTTCACGCCGGAAGTAGGTGTCGCCACATTTACATAGGAATTGTCCTCCAATATTTTAATAATCAATAAATTAATAACTTTGCAAAATAACTGATTTGATTGGACTTGATTCTGAATTTGATTTTAATACGTGTTCTTGAATTAAGGTTTGACTACAGAATGAATAGCGAACGATTGTGTTTTTAAAATAAAATTGAATATGATTAAACGACGATAGCTTTAACGGTAAAAAGTAGGAACTAATGGAGCCAAATTTGAAATAATACCCCTTCGGAAATATTGATTTCCTGAGTTTAATCGACAATAATATGCATCAAGTATTAATAATAGTTTACTCTTGAATGTCTCAGGAAACATAATATGTTCAGAAAGTCATGAAATATGCCTTTTTATCATTTCCTTATATGCGTATTCGGACATACAATTTTCTGCTTAGTTCAGCCGTTTGCCGCTAGATGGCGCTACACGTACCGTTTATGTGGCGATCATCAGAGTCATCGTCGATCAAGAGGAATTTCATTTTCAAGCCGTCGATAAAGAAGATTTTTATTTGTATTTGACATTCAATTTTATTTATGTTCAATTGTATTTTTAAAAGAAAAACGTTCGTTATTCATTCCTTAATCAAATTTAAATTCAGCAACACGCATTTCAAAATCAATATCAATAAATCAGTTATTTTTGGAAATTATAATTTATTGACTAATTTAAAATATAGAAAACACTCTCTATATTCTCGGTCAGCGCATGAAAAAATATGAATTTTGACAAAACCAAACCCAACAAAACTCGAATAAAATTAATATTTATTTTAAAAAATATCTTCTGAAGCTATACTAGTTATATTAAGAGGTTATTTCTTTTTGTAGGTCCTATATACCTCTCTGTTTTGCATAACAACATACAAAAACATATGTATATACTGCCAATGCTGTTTGCAATATATTGCTTGGATCCTAAGATGCGGATTATATGTCGAGAACAATTGGCACACAACACTGTATCTTGTCGATAATATAGGGAATGACATAAGAACGGCAAAAAATTTTCTTTTGAGTCATTAAAAACCATTCTTACAGATATCTTCTTTTGCAAAAGAGAGCCTATTTTATTTCTTTATATTCGCTTTTTTCTAATTATTATTTTAATTTGATTTTCCCGCTCATTTGCAAAATCAATTTAAAGGGACAGATTTTGCTACACATCAAAGGTTCTGGCTGATGTGTCGTCTCTTATTGCATCCCTACTCTTTAGTTTAAATAACAATCTTCCTTTTGCGTGCAAAAAATAAGGACATAAGACTTTAGTCACTACTTCACCGCAAACATATTATTGAAAGTTGTCACATGCCACTTGATGCCACTGCCACCATTACCATGCTATTGAACGAGTTTATGCAATGATCCTCCGCTAAACTAGCCTATGAAACTGCAATTTTTGCACTAAATAAAGTGCCACTCACACATTTTGATTGACTAAATATATGAACACATTGAATAAATGAAAGATTTAATTTAAAACACAACTGTCATATTTCTTTGTGTGAACTTTTATAGATTATATCATGATAACACGTATACGTATTCTATGCTCATACTCTCGTGTAACAGAGAATACATGTTACTAAATATGTCAGTTAGCCTTAGATGTGCAGTAGCACTCGTCTCAGGTTAAATGTTATTGAAGAATTAAAGAATTAGTTTAACAAATTTATCCATATGGCATCACCGGCTCCTAAATCACCAGAGCAATCTGAAAGAAGCAGAAAATATGATAGACAATTAAGGTATAAATCTTCATAGACAAAATTGTTTTGGGGTTAGAAATTTATTATACATTTAAGTAAATTAGTTGGGAATTCATCATTATTATAGTTTTACCGTTTAATTATGTATTGATGATTGTATAGTTTAATACCATTTTTGTATTTAATACCATTTATTATTTAAAATTAATGAAACAATATTAATTTGCACAGATTATGGGGCGATCATGGCCAAGCTATGTTAGAAGGGGCACATATTTGCCTCGTTAATGCCACAGGTCTTGGAACAGAAATTTTAAAGTCCTTAGTACTTCCAGGTATTGGTGCATTTACAATTGTGGATGGAAAAAAGATTACTAATGAAGATATCGGGGCAAAGTATATATGACATTAAGGTGTTATTAACTTTTTTCGTTCAATGATGTATTAAACATAATAAATTTGAATAGTTTTTTCTTAGAGGCAGATAGCGTAGGGAAATCAAGAGCGCAAGTTTCAACTGAAATGCTTTTGGAATTAAATCCTGATGTAAGGGGTGACTATATTGATGAAGAGCCTGAACAACTTTTATATAATAGCCCTGACTTTTTTAATAATTTTACTGTTGTTGTAGCTACTTCACTTACTGAAAAGTAAAAATGATCACGATAAATACTTTTAAAGAAATTTTATATTATTTTATGTTAGATGTTTCAAAAAACAAAATTTTTCAGGTCTTTAATTCTTTTGTCAGAAAGATTATGGGATTTGAATATACCTTTAATAGTATGTAGAAGTATAGGATTTATTGCATATATGAGAATTCAAGTGAAAGAACATGTGATCATAGAAACGCACCCAGATAATGAAACACCAGATTTACGTCTAGATAGACCATTTGAGGCACTAAAACGGCATTTGGATTCAATAAATCTTGATGAAATGAGTTTCAAAGATCATTCTCATGTGCCATATTTAGTGATATTATACAAATTCTTGGAAAAGTGGATTTTAGACAAAGGACAATTGCCCAAAACTTATAAAGAGAAACATCAATTAAAAGAAATGATAAAGAAAGGAATAAGAAGAGAAGATAATGATACTGCAAATAGCGAAGAAAATTTTGAAGAAGCTATAAAAGCTGTGAATACATGTGTAGGACCTACAGAAATTCCAAATAGCATAATGAATATTTTAAACGATGATCAATGTGTCAATTTAACAGCTAAGGTATAAAAATAAGCTGTTAATATATTAATTAATTGTCTAACTTTAAATTGACTTAATATATTTTTAGAGCAGTTCATTCTGGATAATTGCAAAAGCAGTGAAAGATTTTATTAAAAATGAAGGGGCTGGATTATTACCGCTAAAGGGAACTTTACCAGACATGATAGCAGATACTGAAAAATATATAACACTTCAGCAAATGTAAGATTGATTTTTGTAAAAATTTTTAAATATAAATTATCTATATCTGATTATGAGACATGAAAGATTTTATTAAATTGATTGAACATCTGTTTTGTTCATACATTCTATTAATTTTGTTAATTATTGGAATAAAAATAGATTTATGATTAGTATTATCTCAATGAATAGTTGTATGTAAATTATATATTTATGTATATAAATCAATATTTTACATTAAATCAATATACTATTTAAATTATTATTTAATTTAATTTGCAGTTACTACAAACAGGCGGCAGCTGATGTAGAGGCAGTATGGCGACGTACATTGCAATTATTACAGCAATTAGGAAAACCATCAGATTCTATTTCAGAGCGAGATGTTAAATTATTTTGTAGGCACGCTTCAAATATACACGTAGAAAGAGGAACACGTATCGCGGACGAATATGATTCTAAAATCTTTGATACCAGTAACATAGGTAATATTTTATAGCATGTAATTCTGCTATGATCTTAAAGTCATTTCCGATTCATAGCAAACTTTTATTTTTAAAATCTTTTGTTAAAAGAAAATTATAATAAAATTGTTATTAATGTGTTGATTTGATATATTTGGTCCATTTTTTATCTACAAATCTTAATCGCACAGTTGAAATGAAGACCATAGCAGATTTATTATTACTCTTGAATAAATTTTATCACGTAAAATATGTGTATAATTTAATAATTTTGTACAATCTTTTCCAGTGCAAAGTTTAGAAAATCCAGAAAGTATGATGATTTATTATGTTGTTCTTAGAGGAATTGAGAAATTTCAAACAGAATATAATTCATATCCTGGTGAATTTGATGATCAAGTAGAACCTGATATTGTTAAACTTAAAGTATGTTATGTACAAAATTAAAGTAGGGTAAGCTGTACTAATTTTGGCACACTGCATTTTACTAATGATGCATAATAATTACAGGTTAAATATAACTTTTTCAAATATCTATTTTCGAACGTAGTATAATATACATTCCAGTATTTGATTATTTTTTTGTAAATAGTAACTGATAATATGCAATGGATTGTTTGTTTTCAGTATTTGTTAAAGATTTCATATTTTGTTTATCAAATTAATACAATATCATTATATGTTAATTATTGGTACACAAAGTTACCATACCAAGTGTGACAATGAATGATGTCACATATTTTCTAATTAAAGATTTTCAATTAAAATAATTATTTTATTTTATTCGGTTATATTAACAAATCAGTTTTCATGTTTTTTAACTGTAAAATATAAATTTACTAAATAAATCTGATACATTGAAATACAGTTTTAGCTGAAAGTGCCAGGTGTACAGTTTACTCTGTTAATAATAAAATTCTAGAAACTAATGCGTGATTTAATATTTTAAGGCATGTATAACGAAACTCTTGAGTGAATGGGGATGTGGTCCATTAGCGAAAGATGATTATGTACACGAATTTTGCCGATTCGGTGGATCAGAATTACATTCAGTATCAGCATTTTTAGGTGGTTTGGCAGCACAGGAAGTCATAAAATTTGTTACAAACCAATATAAACCGGTTCACAATACTTTCGTGTATGATGCAGTGACGTCAAATTCGGGAACATTCTTTTTTTAGCATTAAATACCAAAAGATATATCTATTTCTGTATTAAATAAGGAAATATACGATTTTATAGTTTACAAAATAAGTTCTAAATATTACATCCTCTATAATATTTTTAAATGCGCTAATATTTTCTCTGGAAAATATCTAAAGATGTTAACAATTCATTGAAACTCAAATTTAAACGAGTAATATCAACACTTTAATGTAGCAATTAATTGATACACAAATGGTTTCGTTCTTATCTTCAATAAACAACTATTAATAACTATTAATTATAGTATATATATAAGGCATAAAGCAAATTAATATTTCGTATCTTATAATCAACATTGTACGCAAGTATTATTTTTATCAGTGTCTATTCTCAATATAACTTAATAAAAGATGTTACACTTTGATTTTAAATTCCTTCATTTTGTACGGTATTAGTATTTTATATTATGTTACATTATATTGTTGTATTCATAACAAATTAACTGTACCCTAAGTCAACTAATGAACCGTCAACTATGATTAAAGGTAGTATGATATAAAATTCTGCTTTCACATAAACCACTTCGATATCCTTAATTAGGTGTACACAACAATTATTTTCAATTTAACTGTTCTCATTTTTTTCTAATTAAATTCTTGCTTATTTTTAGTAAATAATATTTTGATCTTTGATTTTAAGGGTACCTAAGCATTTTGAAATGATCCAGGAATATTTGGATGCAGAAGTGGTAATGCAAAAGTTGCACAAAATGATTTTATTAATTATGATAAACGCAGTATCAGTAGTACACGCTTTGTATTTCACATACACACTTAGCACCGATAAATATACGTAGAATTAGTAATAAATTATTCTTATATAATACAGAAGAATTTGTTGATGACTCATAGAGTGGCAGAAAAACATTCAGATGCTTAATAATAATAATAATCAATGATAGTAACATATTTAAGAGAAAAAGATGAAAGGTAACCATTTTAAAGATAATTAACATTTTGAAGACATCAAGAGTCGTAAAAAATCACAAAGAATTACTATGAATAAATGACAGATGACAAAATATGAGAAATACAACACCACTATTGAGAGAATAACATTTGGTAGTTTTAGATTTATGAGAAAAACACTGGTAGAGGATTACAACAATTTTTGTAGCATATAGATTTGTTAAAATTTGAGTCGTATAGTTCATCAATTAATTTCACTTTTTGCTTTTATGCTTTATGAAAGCAACAAATATATCTATGTTGAAAATAGTCTGAAATTATTATCAGAATTATTTTTAAACTTGCGTATGGTTGAACCTTAGATATAATCTTTTAGGATTGTGAAGCTCAAGAGAAAAGTTTATAGATTTTCTAGTTACAGTATAATGAAGTATAATACATGAATAATATTTACAAGCAGAGTAATACTTAATCTTGTAACTATACGACTCTACTGATCGTTATTTAAACAGGAGTTGGAAGATTTTAATAAATAGACGCAGAAAATCTTAAAAGCATAAGTCATTGATAAAGCCAGAAACATTTGTTAGAAAGTACCACTAGAACTTTTGCGATAAACTGTCAATACAAGAAATATTTGTAATCTATTACACTATTAATACCCTAGAGAAGAATTTCTAATAGATAAGGGATGTTAGAGATTTAGGCAAAAATTATAATACAGCGTAGATAAGTTTCAATGTGCAACAATTGTTGACTTTTGTTAGAATTATTCAAAAAGAAAAATATGGAGTATTTTTATGCTAACTATTAAGATAACTGTGTTATCTTTGGAAAAATTTCGAACTTTCATTTCATTAGTTGTTGGAATATGAAGTATATGTTACTAGTAGAAGTGAAAGTCATGATATAATTTGAATCTATTTTGATACATTCTAATTTAGAAAGAAGTATCACGACAAACACGAGCAGTAAACGATAGTATTTTGCTTCCATTACTAACTACTATCATTATTTCAGTATTTAAAAGGTATCATTTCTTCTTTGAACAATCATTTTCAACTCATAATTTACTATCATTCATTGTTTAGTATAAGTTTTTAATTGACTTGTGCTATAATAAACATTTTAGTATTTTACATATATTTATATCAAAGGAAGTTCATAAAATGTCCTGATTAAATCAAATTTCCATAACATTCAAATTTTTAGTGTTAAAATAATCTAAAAAAAATTATTGTAATCCTGTTTTTAGTGTTGTATATAATAATTAATAAAAATAATTTTAAACATGAAATTATCTACAATTTAGAATTTCAGGAACATTTTTCATAATTTAATAGCATAAAAAATACTTTCTCTTTAAAGTGTAACAAAATTCATCTTTTTAACTGAAAATATTTAAATTACAAGGTATTACTCAAATTTTGTATAAATTGTACTTAAATTTGTATCCTGTTATATAGCATACCTTGTATTTACATTTCAAGAACAATGTTGATTAAAATAAAAACAGAATAAAATATAAGCATTTATGATAATTACTTAGCAAACTGTTACATAAATTTGAATTAATTTGTAAATACAAAAAGCAGGAAATTTTTTTAAAATATAGTAAATACAAATTTTAGAATTCAGTTCATTCTTGTTACATAAATCAAAAGCATATAGGAAAGTAATTATAAAGAACAGGGTACAACCTCATCAATATTAATGATCATGGCATAAATATGTTATAAAGATAGATATCCAGAATAACATCATGTATACATTATATGTATACATATACAGAGTAGTTTCGCTATATAGCTCTTTGTTATATGGCCAGTTGAACAAGTTTCCCTCATATATGTTTTACATATATCATCATCGATACAGTTTTATCACCATAGCTTTTAGACTCTAGGGAGATTTTGAAGTTTTAGATTCATGAATATATAAATATGCAAGTTTAGAAATTTAGAAACATAGAAATTTATTAATTCCCAAATTTAGAAGTTTTAAATTTTTTAGTTCAAAAGCAAAGGAATCTAAAATTTTGAAATTTAAGAACTTAAGATATCCAATTTTCAAATTTATGAATTTAAAAATTACAAATTTAGACAAATTTATGAATTTAAAAATTTCAAATTTAGACAAATCTTTAAACTTAAAAATTTAAAAGTGTAAAAAGTAGAACGTTTAAAATTTTAGATGGTAAATTTTTTCCACAATTTGTGCAATCCATCCAGGGCCATATAGCGAGATTCCACTACACAAGAGAATACCCAGAACACTGTCTTTTATGACATATGTCGAGATCATTGAAGTCGGTGAATAATTACCGAAATTACTAGTGTATAATAGATAAGCAGGAAGCAAAATCTTGCAAAGTTAGTGAACATTATGCAGCAGAGTATGTACGAGAATAAATTTGAATATTGGAAAGTGTTAGTATTATAACGACTATTTTGGCTGCACCATTCCTTCTATAAATTTGTATATCTACAACATAGTATATTATATTTACATTAATATTTGTTATATTCTTCATAACTGTGTATTTGAATACACTTATACTTGATTTCATCGAAATTATTTTGTGCATATATTTGTTATTCTCTTGTTTCTAAACACGATCGAAAATATCCAAGTTTTTACTGAACCTCAATTTAACACAATATTATTTAAAGTAATTATCTGTTAACAACTAGACGTTTGACTTGTTAAATTTTAGATTTGTTATTCTGTACAAAATACAGTTCTTCAATTGCTTTTTCTTGAATAAAGAAAAAAGATTAATATATATAACAAGTAAACGTGGAATTTGCAACATTCTTGCATTTATTGTATGTTATACAACATCTTCTTTCTATTCTTTTCATAAAATGTTTCCTTTTTTATCGTTCTAGTCATTATGTATCAACTGACTACTACTACTACTCGTGTTTTGACGAATTGACACGATTTAATATTCATTTTGCATGCTTCATTCATAAAAAAACTGTTAGAAAATTGTCAAATACTGGGGCGATTGTGAAATTATAAAAATTACACGACGTCAACGACTTTTTAAGATCGTGCTAATTTAGTCGCAATACTTACTCATGCTTATTGCTTCCTGATTTAAGGTACAATATGTAATTACATTTTGACTCGGCTAGCATTGAATGTAAAATATCAATCCTACATATTATCTAAATAGAATTTTCCACTTTTCTCACTTCTCTTTTGTGTTTTGTATGTCTCAAAAGGCAAGGTCATCGTACTGTTTATCGTTACTAACATTTCCTTTGCATATTCATTTTTTTGTTCATCGTCAAATAGCCAAAAAACTTCAATGTTCATTTTAGAATCTTATGTATTAACTTTAATAAGGTTATTTAATTTATACAGTAACTATACGAATAAAAGATATAACTGCAGTGGTCGCTCGATAAGTAGACGCTCCAGAGATACGGCTAGTTATCAAGCGGCCAAAGACACGCACGCTCCCCGCAGTTTGTCCGTTTACTTTCTCGTTGTAGCCACGTGTAGGACAGGTCACTAACTTCTCATCGATTCGTTCGTTAATTTGTTAATGACAGAGTAGAGTGCGCGCGTGTATACGGGTAATGCATATGAGCGATGGGCATTCCTAACGGTTACTTATGTAGCGGCTACTTATTTAGCGGCCACCGTATATAGTCTATAACCTTAATCGTTAATGAGCACAAGGTGAATGAATGTACATCCTATAAAGTATATAGTAGATATACATATAGATACAAGTATACATATATGTTGAATATACATACATATTTGTATCTTCATAATACGTTGTCCTTCTGTAAAACACAATACTGCCTGTGTATCAACTAAAGCGCAAGATCACGGTGCATGCTCTTCGCTCATGTAAATGTCGCGTAGTTGTTTTTGAATAATAAGGATATTCGATTAATGGACCCAAAAGAAATTTAGGAGAAAAGAATGTGTAGCAATGCTCAATTACAAGTATTACAAAAACAGAAAGTGGCTATCTATATCCGTGATGGGCAGATTACATTTTTTTTTCATTTGACATGTCAATTAGATGATTACAGTGAACACAGGCTGTTATATTGCCATCATTTATACTGCCGGTTTAGGAAATTCCCATCCACGTCAACTTTACACTTGAGCACCCACACAACCATGTAAGAAAATATACCGTATTTCAAATATTTAAATTTAGGTATTTAAAAATGTAACAATTTGGTAATTCGAAAATTTAGAAATTCAAAACTTAGAAATTTATCAAGAATTTTCTATGGATTTAAATATACGGAAATTTCAAATTTTCAAATTTAGGAATTTACAAATGTAGGAATTTGGACATTTTTTAATTTGGGAAGTTGAAAATTTAAAAATTTAGATCTTTCCCATCTTCCAGTTTCTAAATAGTTCCAACTTCCAAATCTTCCTACTTTCAAATTTTTCAACACTCAAATTTCCAAATTCAGAAATTTGTAAATTTATAAATACGAAAATATAGAAACTTCAAATACTCAAATTTAGAAATTTGAGAATTTAAAAATTTGACAAGTTGTAAATTTGAAAAGTTGAATATTTTCAAATTTACAGGTAATCAGATAGTCAAATTTTTTAATTTAGAAATAAACTAATTGAACATTTATAAAATATAAAATCTTTAAATTATCAAATTTTTAAATTTGGAAAAGCAGAAATGTCAAACTCTCAAATTATCAAATTGCCAAATTTATAAATTAAAAAATTGACTATCCATTACTGTCTCCCAATCACAGTTACCCATCACCGGTTCACAGACACGATACAGGTGGTTTTATGAAAAAAGGCGGTCAATCAATGTATAAATATAAAAAATCATAATGTTAAATGACGATCTACATTTTTAGTCGTTTAATAATCATAACGTATTTTTTTTTTTTTTTAATAACTGTAAGTTATCACCTATATACATTTTTTCTTTTTTTGGGTATATTTTTCGGAATGCATACTTTACTTAGGATGATTTTTTTTATTTAATTTAGCATAAATTATGAGTCGAACTACTTAATCGTAAAGAACCAGCACAAATTATACGTTTGCTTCATAACTGTATGTACAGTTTTGTGAAGGTAACGATCAGGACATTGTCGTGCTTTTATTGCTAAAATAACAAATGAAATAAAATGTCGCGTATACATACACACATTGTATATTAATTAAACAATCCTAATCGTACAACAGTTATCGGGAGAATTGATGTATTGTGCTAGGTTTTTCCCTACATGTGTCTGTTTCTGATTCTGTTAGTACTCTTATTTCGTAATCTTTTGTTCATTCCTATCTTCCATCTCCCTGTTTATATGCATACCCGCAAATTCACATAAAAATATTTAGTTACACACATAGAATATTCACACATGTACACATGATACACGTATTCACAAAAATAAATCTCTAACAATAAGACAATTCGTGCGCATGAGTGTTATCCTTTTATTTGCTTATCTTTTAAATCTTTCAGCTCAAGTGTCTATACTTCGGCAATACCTCAAATCAATTGAAAACGATAATAAAGTAATTAAAATAGGATACGATACTTTATCTCTTTTTTATGAAAAGGTGATTGACTTTTATTCTATAATAATATATTAATAAAGCGATTGTAACAAAGGTCATTGAACCGTACTAGTAGAAGTGTGAACAATTACTCCAATTGTTACAACAAATAAAAATAAAATAACCATGTTATAAAATTAATTATTTTTATGATAATACAATGCTACATGAAATTATATATTCACTTCAAATTCTAATGTTTTGATATCGGATGGATTTGAAGATCAGCATTGATACAATTGAAAATTTTATCAGGCACTATCGTTATTTTGTTATTTTTATCATCCAATTATTTATTTATCTAATTCAATAAATAATATGGGTGATGCATTCTTATAGAAATTTAAGTGCCATCCATGTGTGGGTGATATAGCAGTTTACATTCAAAATTGTTTCTACTTTATTATTTTAATTATGTTTTTATATGGTAAATGTTTAATATTATAAATATCAAAACTATAAGAAACAACAAATTCAATAATTAATAACATTCTGCTTGTTACTAATTAAATAAAATACTCAATTTAACACACTGTGTATTAAATGATTTCAATCCTATTTTCGTTAAAGTTTCAAAAGGTTTGAAGTAGATATATAATTTTGTTGTAATGCTGTATATGTAAATAAGTCTAATTGCTAGATTATAAAGTTAATGCATTTAAAATCATGTAACCTATAGATTGCGGATCTTCATGTGTTGCAGACTTTGATGTATCACAAGTGTAAAAACATCTGTAGATTTAAGATCTTAATCTTAAAATTAAGATTTATTCTCATTGTTTTCTGTTTACTAGAAAAATATTGCATGTTATATAAGAATAATTTATATTTATTAAGAAATAGAAAACAAATTCTATACAAAATTTATATTCTTCTATTTACGATTCCAATAACCTTTGTAACTTAAATGATTTGTTATTAGTATAATAATAAAATACGTAAATAAGTCTTTTTCACAATTAATAGATTCATGATGGCATGTATTAAGAAATCATAAACATTTTATAAGGGTGATGAAGAGTATTGTGTGTATTATCGCATAGTATGAAATATGCCCTTGTGAATAGTTTACAAAAAATCATATAACATGTTCAAAAGTTAATTTACCCTATGGGCTGCATAGAACGAAGACCTATGTTAAAATTGTTTGCACATATGTTAAATCAATTACAAACATCGTCATTCATTAAAGCTGAACTTTTATAAAGCTTTACAAATTTTAATATTTACCTGATTAATATATATTTAAACCATATCTACAAACATCACCGACAGCATTGAAATAACATTAAATAAAGCAGTTTTTTAGCTTTGACTGTGGAACCACTTTTGTTCCTGGGTTTCAATATGAATCAAACAATTTTACTGGTCGTCCGTAATACACAGCATACAGGGATTATCATAATCAAAAACAAACTACGCTTTTCTTCTTAAAACCGATCCGTTTGTCACGGAGCGACTGGACTAGTCTTGCAGACTAGCTTGCGGTATGCGCAAGCGCCGTGGGCCCAGAGACCCTGGACTGTTTTAGGTTCCGGTCCAATTTACAAGTGTCCCATTATTTTTTGTTAACTATTATTTTAGAATAACGGTTACGTTTATAAAGATTATTCACCTGAAAATCTATCAAAACTTTCTCTACTTATTCTTATCTTTTGATTAAATATAAATGGAAAATAAATATTGAAATAAACTTATAACTAATGTTTCAAGATAAAACAACGTTTCTACAAGAAGAAAATCACTAATATCGGAGAATTAAAACTAATGAAAGCAACGATAAAAATTAAAAACATTTTAATAGGTTTTCCAGTGAATTTTTTTAATGGACGCTTCTTTATGATCGTAACCTTAATAGGGACAGTGATCAGACCGGGCCCTGAATCAGGTATGTAGATGATACAGTAATACTTGCGTAATAGCCCAAGGTCTCACTGAGCTTGTGCACTTGAATCGCACTGCAACAGTCGCACAATAGACGGGTCGTTTCTCGCACCCTCTATAAACTCATCGAGTGATAATTTGCCATCTTTATTTTTATCCATTTGACGAAATATCTTGTCGGTTCTCTTTTCTGGCGTTGACTCGTCCTCTGGCATTTTCATCACGGAACCAACCATTTTGTAAATTGCCTGAAAAAAATGAAACTTATATGAAAACGTTATTACAACACAAATTTTTGTTTTAATAATATTTACTAAGAAAAATTTGCATTTAAAGATATTCAAATAGTTGTATTGAAAACGAAATATATTTGTTAATTAATTTGATATTTTATTCAAAAATTTTATTTCCTTATTTTAGATTTTCTTGACGTTATATTTTATATTTTTTTTTTGCAAGAAAAAATTAAACCGTATAAAAAGGCGTGCTATCCTATAAAGTATAGGGTTTTGATTTTTACAACACTATAAAGAGATAATTTGAAAGTGGATTGTAAACCTCTGATGTTTTTTCTTACCGTAACAATTTCTAACATTTCTTGCCGCGAAATGTATCCGTTACCATCCAGATCATACATGTTGAAGGCCCACTTTAATTTCTGTTCCAACTTTCCACGGGACGTTACGCTGAGAGCGCACAAAAATTCTCGAAAATCGATTGTTCCATCGCCATTCGCGTCGAATGTTCTGAACACGTGCTCTGCAAACTGTACATTGTGCGATCATGAAAAGACTAGATGAAATGTTATAAAATGGGATACTACTGACCTCAAATTGCAACGCAGGCTACTACAGGATACGATTCAATAAATTACTGCTAATTCGTTTTTATTCTAAGCATACAGTACATTTTTGTTTCTCTGTCAGAAAGCTATAAGCACGTTAACTACCACGAATAAAATTTCATTTTTATCAGAAATTAAAAATAATTTATTTAGAAAATATCTTTGTAAATGATCATTGAAAAAATTAATTTATATTGAAATGAAATGCAATAATTATTAAATCTTACATAAATTTACTGAAAAAAGTGATTAAAAAATATTGATTTATAATTGATTTTTAATCAATTTATAATTGAGCGCAGTTTTGTGAAAATATAATGTTTAAATACAATACAATGAATTAAGTAAATAATGTCTGACAAAGGGAGTGAGAAAGGTAATTAAAGTTTCAGGTGTAGGATAATAGCTATTAACCCTTTGAGGTTCCAGTAGACACAAACTTCAGTGAATGCTGTTGTCTAAAATTACTTGGAAGTTCAAAGAAATAATTAAAAGATAAAATAAATAATTAAATAACTTAATATATCAAATAAAGTAACAAGCAGCTACATAATTAATTATGGGAAATAAAAATTCTAAGGTAGAGCATTCATCCTTTATGCTATTTTGCTGTTTAAATTAATTTTTATTCACTTTTCAAATTTACGTTTTTTGAAAATTTTAGGTTATAAAAATTTAATAATACTACATATTTATCCCAATTCCCAAATTTAAAAATTCAAACATTTTCAAATGTTCAGATTTGGAAAAGCAATTATTCTAGAAATTTTGAAATATAAAATTTCACATTTTAAATTATTTCAAATTTACGAACAGAGAAATTAAACATCAGTGTTTATTAATATTGCAAGGCATTGTATAATTTCTATAAAAATTTATATAAATTGTATAAAATATTTTTGTCCTTTCAGAAGTAACTTCATAAATACAAAGATTTACCTTGGAAGCATCACCATAAGGGAAGAAATTTCCGTATATCTTCTTGAATTCTTCTACGTTGAGATGTCCACTCGGACAGTCCTTCACGAAGCCTTTATACCATTCTTGAATTTCAGCATCTTCAAAGAGAAACACAGTTTCGTTAAATAAGTGTATGTAGACAAAACGTGTACTGCGCATGCTCGTAAAAAGCGCGCGATAATTTGAATATAGAGATTGCATCAAGATTTTAATATTTATGGGTTGAATATCGATAACAGAATATTTATTGTCACGTAAAATATCGATACAAAATACCGATATTTCTAACCGATATTATTTAAGTGTTCTGACAATGATTCTTCAGAGAATGACGGAAAATTATTCCGCCATATTGATTTGAACAATATGCGATTTCAGATGGCGGTAAATTTAAAATTTATTTGTGCTTAGATAATAAAATAAAAATATTCTTACTAATTTAACCTAAAATACTAAAATTTATTCTGTTATATCAATTTTATGATAACAATAAATATTTCAAGTATGCGTTTAAATTCCTTTTATTGAATCAATAATTAACCTCTATTTTTATCAAATATAACTTAAAAAAATAATAATTTATTTATATATTGAAATGACTGAAGAAAATCGATAATGTAACACATCATATTTTACTATTTCATTTTAAATTGACACGAATATTTGTTTTGTTGTTTTATTATCAAAGCTTAACTTGGTACAAACAAATTTGAATTTTACCGCCACCTGCGATTGAACAGTATGGCGGCAAACAATTAAAAACGCGTTACAGTTTGTCGCGAACATTTACCTTATAGTATTATAGCAACATAAGTAGCTGAATAAATTTGTGAAGAGTAAAAGTAGAGTAAGATAAATTCATACTGAATAAAACATTTTATGCGAAACATTAGTAGCTGAAATTAATTACTGTTTATGAAAATCAATTGAGTTACCCGAGAATTCGGTATTCTGTTTGAGATCCTCTAACACCTCCGGCTTTAGCTTGCTATTCTGCTTTCCCATGGCTGATTCAGGTCCCTTTTACAATTTTGTCGGCGAGTCTTGGAATTTGATTAGAAGATAATTGAGGGCTAACTAGTTGTACTATTCTACTGGTGCCGTATGGAACAGCACTTCGTGGCTGGGACTTTTCACCAGACACGCCTGCAAAGGAAGAAACGTGTAAATATTTACATTTACATTTTTACCAAACGTCATCGATCAAAATGATTCAAAGCGGAAACCGGAATTTCTTTTTTCAACGAAATGAAACAGGGTTAAAATTGGAGCTAACTAGTTGCACAAGAGAACCTCGATATTAGGTTATCAAGTTTCACCAAAAATATTATGTAAATCTTTCATTAATATTTTTTATATTTTTTATCTTTAGATATGTAAGTCCCTAGATTATCAAATTCCAACATTTTTACATTTTCAAAATCTTTAAATCTCAAACTTTTAAATTAGGATATTTCAAAGTTTCGAATTATCAAATTTCTAGGCTACAAATTTTCAGTTTCCATATTACCAAAAATTCTAAAATCACTAAAGTTATTAAAATCCCCAAAATTACTCAAATCCTCAAATCTCCAAATTCCCCAACTCCAAAATGTTCTAAACATCCCCAAATTCCTCAAATTCCCCAAAAATCCGAAATCCTCAAAATCCTCAAAATCTTAAAAATTCCCCAAGAAAACAAAATTTCAAAAATCCTCCAAATCTTAAAAATAAAAAAAATCCCAAATATCTCAAATCTTAAATATTCCCAAATTTCAAAAATACCTAAATTCTGAAAATCTCCAAAATATTCTACAACAGAAAAAAGTAAATAGATAGTCATAAAGAAAGCGTGATATCTTTTATAATTTTCAGTACCGCCTCTGAGCCCTTGACGCAAGGAAATATCGAGGTTCCACTGTCCATCAAACTGAACGTAAAAGAAATCGTTTCTGCCGCTAGAACGAACTCGGTAGCTGCAGCAATAACAAATACAAGATAGAACAACACGTTTCAAAACACGTCGATATATTTCTTACAAGATTTTAATAGGATTACTAGAATTACTTCGAAACGTTTCCGTAATACTTTTTCCATTGAATCTATCGAAAGAGATTGGCCACGTCTGCTTTCTTTACGGAGTCTTGAAACATATTAAGACCGAATTAGCTTACCATAAGTATAACATTTACACGTTTACAGTCATACACACTCACACAACTGTAACAGAAGAAAAAAAATGTTAATATCATTTCAGGTATAATGACGAGGAGAAAAGAATAAGTTGGACACTTAAAGAAGCGATTACAACAATGATTACAACAACGACAACAACGACAACAACAACAACAACAACAACAACAATGATAATACATTTAGAGCATACTGTAGTTTATTATTGTAATAATATTAATAATTAATTATGATAAATGCGTTTTCCTTCGATTCTTTGCCGTGCAGAATTCACGAACGAAATGCGAGTCCATTTCGATTTGCATCAACGAAATATTAATCAGTACATTTAACAAACATAACGCGTACATATACATATATTCACAGTATCGTTAGACCGCGTACGCCATGTTAGTGCGGGCACAGTTCGAAGCGTAGATGTTCGTTCAAGAATTTCATTTAAAATTATTATCGAGTCTCTTGAGCGTTCGCATCCTTTCTACGTAACTAAGGTTTCGTTTTCAAAGAATACGGCCAAAGGAGAAGAGTATTAATGTAACCTTTAGAGTACGGAGTCTTTCGAAAATTTTATTTATCTTGTACGAAGAAATTTCGATACAGAGATGTAACGCTATATAATGTTAAAATATTGGATAATATTCGTTAAAAATTATTTAGATAAACTTATTACCGCTTCACTCGGTTGTTTACGTCCTAAAATCTCCGTGCTTTAAGGGTTAGGTTTAATCTTGGAAAGAAAAGGTCCATTCTTAATGGAACAACAAGTCATTCATAGGTTTTGCAGTTCCAATTGTTACAAGAATCTTTACGTTACCGTTCACAATTTCTTCTTTCCACTTATTCCTACGGAGATAAGTTCACTCAGCGATTCTCGCTGTAACGATGAAGTCTTTCGTAAGGTTTTAACTTAATTTCGATCATCGAGGCGTAAAGACGTCGGACAAAGCAATAAACTAATAATTATTATTTGATACAAATAATTATGACAGTTCTCCGTAACATCAGGATCGTTGGTATAAAGATATTACAATTTTGTTCATTGTTACAATAATACGGTGCAGTCTCGCTATATGGCTCGTTAAACATGACACGATGCTCTTCCGTTATTTTAACGCATAGATCAATATAACAATTTTATATATCAAATATTCAACAATTATTTTGAAATTTTTTAATTGATGAAATATTTAATTTTGGAATTTTTTAATTTACAAGTTTATACACTTTTAAATATTTTTCAAAAATGTTTAATTTTCAAATTTATAAATCGTGAAATTTCTCAATTCAGAAATTGAGAAATTTTCAAGTTGTAAAATCTAAAAATTTGAAAATCTGTGAATTTCAAAAATTCACATTTGGTGAGTTTGATAAGTTTCAATTTTTAAATTGAATAATATAAAAATTGTTAAACTGCAAATTTAAACATTTTCAGTTTTAGAAATATATAAATTATAAAGCTTTGAAATTTAGAAATATTTAAGTTATGAAATTTGGAAATGTTCAAATTAAGAAATCTCGAAATTTTCGAAAAGGCCCAAATTTTCAAATTTCCAATTTTAAGAATTTATTTAAAAGTTGCAAAATTTGGAAATTTAAAAATTTATCGGCATTCAAATCTTTAAATGCTCATGTGTTGAAAATTGTAAGCTTAAAAATTCTCAAATTTACAAATTCATGAACATCGGAATTTCCAAATTAAAAAATTAAAAGAATTAAATTTCTCCATTAAAAATTTTTCAAGGAGTTGAGTTATTTCCAAAATTAAAAACTTTGTAAGGATCAGTCCTTAACAATTAAACGCTATATGCAATGAGCTTATATAGCATTCCGCATTATTTTCCTTATTATCTCACTCAGGGCCATATAGCGAGACCTTACTGCATGTGCGGTCGTATTTAACACGTTCACTGCCTCTCACACCAGTGGATAGTTCACAACTTTTGTCTCCACAGCGAACACGTCAACATTGCATTACAAAATTTGTGCTACCGATAGATCACGTAATTGATTATCGATTAAAATTCTCCAATAACTTTTACATTTCATATCGTGTCTCACTTGCAGCGTTCGTTCTAAAATCACGATGACAAAGATATTTTTAATAAATGCGTGGCTTCTCGTCATTGATTGCTTAAATTGTTACTAAACCTTCAGTATTTTAACAACAAATTCTCTGTTATCCTATTAATTAGTTAATTTATAAATCTATTATCCGATTAGTGCTATCAAATTGTTGCAAATTAAATGACTGATTTATTTATAGAGTTATAACATTTAACAAATTATAATCGCAACGTAAAACAAAATCTGTATTTCAAAAAACTACGAAACATTTAAATTACAGTAGACTCTCGTTATATTGCCTTCTTGTATTGCACGCAATATGTTATCGCACATCAGAGACCCTTTTTTATCACTGCATTATAGACATCTGTAAAAACGCTTTTATGTAGCCTGTTTCAATGATTTACTGTTTCTGTAGCTCGTATACGGCAATATAATGAGACTTTACTGAATATATTTAAACCGATCACGATCTTTTGAATAAAATATTATAAAACAAATGCTATGATATTCGTTAGCAGATATGAATAGCCTTTATTTTGTTACTAACAATCACTTTGTAACAGACAACCCGCCACTTTGTAACGGACAGTCAGCCATTTTGTAACAGACAGTCAGCCATTTTATAACAACCTGCCATTTTGTAACGGACAACCAGCCATTTATATAAAAAACGTTAACTGATTATGTAGCTTCAGATTATATAATATTAATAAAATACTTACTTGACAAATTGTTAACTTCAAATTAATACACTGTATGTATTTTACAGTATTTTTGTGCTATTAAATTATGTAAGATATCAATGTTTAAAAATCGGTCATTTGATATACAATAACGTGACAGTTGATGTATAATAACGCTTTTCAATGTACAGTATAACTCCTTTTATTCACACTAGTTGGGGATCAAGTCGGTTCGAATAACTGGAATATAGTAACCCGATAATTCCCCAATGCGTAATACATACAAAAAAATATCAATTTACGAGGCAGATTTTTCGAGACGTATTCAGTATATTTAACGGCGTTTGTTTATTTTAAATATAAAACAATCATGATAAACTTCAGCGACATCCTCATAATTCCCTGTTAAGGAATTTAGTTCTAATTCCTAAGTACACAGAAGGTACACGTATTGTATTTACCTTTCAAATGAACAAACGATGGAGAAACCATACATGATAATTTCTTTAATTTTTATAAAATCCGCCACCAAAGCCCCTAGGGCAGGAAATTAATAAGCGTACAAATTTTTCCAACAAAATAGCTTTTCTAATTTTTTAAAAATTGAAAAGCACGTTTTAACTTATATTAAATATCTACAGTGTCATATATTTATATAAGTTACAGAGTATTATGAAGTCAGGTATGAAAAAATGGAACATTAAAAGTATAATTGAAACTGAGTATTAAGTTGTTTAGATAAATGGAGTTTTACTGTACTCGCAGTCCCACATCGTTCACACTTTTCGTAACAGCTCACATTTTCGAGAAACATGCTGACGTATGGGGTTTCTATCACCCCATTTTTAATTACATATTGTTCGATCGTTGCGTTTATAAGATCATAAATTACACAGTTCTTTTGATAATCAATGACGGCTTCAAACAAGTTTCCTTTTGTTAACCACTTCCCTTATGATGTTTGCCTTGGTCGAATGCACTATGTAGAATTAAATATGTACGCATACAGTAACCGTTCGATAAGTGCTCACTAGTTTAGTGCAAGTTCGAGCGCGTACAGAACTGCAGAATAAGTAATTGAGCGGCCATTTTTTTATTGTTCGATGCAAAGATAAGAATGTTTGATCGTCGAATC